TCAAGAAGTGATTGGACAAAATTTTATTTTATATTTAATAAAATTTTGAACTGTTGAAGTATCGTGGATTATTATTCCTTCGGGTTCCAGGAGGAACGTAGGGCTTTAGCAGCAAATCTTCATTTCATTTTACTCTATGAAGTGCTTTTCATCTGGCTCCACAATTTCCCATAAGCCTTTATTTCTTCCTCACGCGGTCTTCATATCGCTGTCGAACTGACGCCTGGCTCTTCGTTCCCCACTTGGATACCACTCGATGATTGTCCTGGCACGTGATTTCACTCAATGTGTCCGATTCATCTCCATAAATAATAATAATAATAATAATAAGTGTTTATAAATTTTTAACTTTATTTGTTAAATCTATTTTGAGTTTCCCGTCGGCTGGTTATGCCGAGTTAAGGTACTTGGTCTTTGTTGACACTTAGCTGGGTTCGGTTGTTATTAAGAAAAACGGTCATTATCTGGGTGGAGTGGGATGGGTTGGAGATGCGTTCAGTTGACGGGTCTCATGTAGGAGGAAACATTTTATGGGTCCCACTGCTTAACACTACCAACGAAGTAACTTCATGTTTAACCTTATTATTTATCAAAAACTTTATATTGTGTTGGTTGAAAAGTCCAAGGAAAGAAGAGTTTGAAAGGCTCCTACTTAAAACTAAGGATTTAAGGCGCACGTACACACACACGCCTACACTATTAGTCAACTCCCTGGGTTAGTTGGTATCAACCAGGTGATTATTTTCTGTTGAATGAAGAAAGACGATTTGTCAAATAAAAGCTAAATAATATATATTGTGAAATCTCAGTGCATTGTATTTGATGTTAGTTTGTAATAATAGCAATAATAATTGTAATCTGCATTACAATCAATATATGCTTCACTAGTATGTATAGTGTATTAAAATTAGGTGTGATTATATTTCCATCTTTCCGTTTGTTATATTCATGTTTCTATGACTTTATAGTAAGTGCAAAAAGGTGTATTATATAATTATAGTGTGTAATCATTTTAAAAAAAAACTTGCATAATATATATATATATTTATATATTTAGAAAATCAAAACAAATGATTCAGCGAAGAGACTCTTTTCAACGAATTTATCATCAAGCTGTACAATCGTATATATATGGTTTTTAAGAAGTTATATCCGGTGAGGGAATTGAAACATAGGTGTGAATGCATGAAATAATAATAATATGAAGTGCAATTAAAACTAAAGTGTTTGTGATTATAATCGTAGTTAAAGGTCAAGTGGCAAAGCAAATTAATGTCATATATAGAATAATTCATAGGATGGATAGAACTTGAAAAGGGTGTGCAATTATAAGATTAGTAGACAAATCGAAAAAATAAAAACGTTACGTAATATTGTGTGAAATTTAATAGCATAGAATTTAATGTTGCATAAAGGAATTGATTTAGAATGACAAGTGGAACAAGTGAAATAATACCGGGGACAATTAAAAGTGAGAGTAGTAATAGTAACAATTGACTTAATAAGGAAGAGTATACAAATTGAATAGACAAAAATGAAAAAATGGAGAGTTGGTAGAGCTGAAGTATGATTGGGGATTCCCATACTTTAGCATAGAGGGATTAAGACCATGAAAGTTGGAGGGGTTGAACGAACTTCTTCTGTACACAGAGATCTGGCTTTTCTGTTTCGATAGCCAAAGCTTCAGCAATACAGATGAGTCGGGTACCCAAATCCCTACGTACCCGACTCATCTGTATTGCTGAAGCTTTGGCTATCGAAACAGAAAAGCCAGATCTCTGTGTACAGAAGAAGTTCGTTCAACCCCTCCAACTTTCATGGTCTTAATCCCTCTATGCTAAAGTATGGGAATCCCCAATCATACTTCAGCTCTACCAACTCTCCATTTTTTCATTTTTGTCTATTCAATTTGTATACTCTTCCTTATTAAGTCAATTGTTACTATTACTACTCTCATTTTTAATTGTCCCCGGTATTATTTCACTTGTTCCACTTGTCATTCTAAATCAATTCCTTTATGCAACATTAAATTCTATGCTATTAAATTCCACACAATATTACGTAACGTTTTTATTTTTTCGATTTGTCTACTAATCTTATAATTGCACACCCTTTTCAAGTTCTATCCATCCTATGAATTATTCTATATATGACATTAATTTGCTTTGCCACTTGACCTTTAACTACGATTATAATCACAAACATTTTAGTTTTAATTGCACTTCATATTATTATTATTTCATGCATTCACACCTATGTTTCAATTCCCTCACCGGATATAACTTCTTAAAAACCATATATATACGATTGTACAGCTTGATGATAAATTCGTTGAAAAGAGTCTCTTCGCTGAATCATTTGTTTTGATTTTCTATATGTTACAATGGGAATTTTCCATGATATATATATTTATCACGATATGTAATTAATGACACTCATTAACTCTTTGGTGTTATGTTACACAAGAGAAATTGTATTATACACTTCCTTCCTTCCGTCCTTCCTTTGTTTTTTATCACATTTTATTGTTCTTTTCGTTTTCTTCGTGAGTATTCTCCTGAGGTATATAAAAGAGTGTAGGTCGTTTAAGTTGGATGTTTATTTAACGTAGAATTGTGAATAGGGTGGTATGTCTTGGCATCAATTGGTCACAATCAAACAGATGAATTCATCATTATATTTTATCTCTTCGTTTCAATCTTGGTGTAACATCGTTTAAAAAAACACATCTCAACTCAAGTTTGACTGCAGAGTCATATCAGTTACAGGGAGTACTGGACAGCTGTTCCGTCCCGCATTGAGACTCATCGGCAGTACTTACCCACCACACAGGGGTTCAAACCAAGGACCTTCCGGTTACAAGTCAAGCTCGTAGACCATTCAGCCACTCATTGGTTGATTTTAGGGAGACCATCAGCTAATGCGTACTTCCGACGAGTCGCAAACTGGGACGAAACAGCTGGAATGATTATCAAATGTAAAATGATGCCACAGGATTGGATGGCTTAAAGATAGAGAGTGAAATAGCTGAGCGTGCTGATCACTTCATTTATCTGGGATGTTGTATCAGCTTAAATGGTCTACGAGCTCGCCTTGTAACCAGAACGTCCTAACTAATGTCATTCTGTGGTCAAACTTAAGAGCCTGAATTGTTTGTGGATCTTCCTTATTTTATATTAGTGCAAATTTTGTTAATAACAAGTTATCATATTGTGTAAGATTGTATATCATTATTATTATTATCATGATGAATCCCTAGGGTTTATCAGCTTATTTGGTGATCTGTTCACCTCAGAAAGCTTTTCATCTCCGAAATGAAATTATTGTTCTCATTGTTATTTTTTTTAAAATATGAACTGATCGAAAGTGTCCAATCAGGGGACTCCGAAGTTATTTCATTTTATGTCGTTTATAAAAAAATAGGAATGCTTAGTTGGTAACAGAATTTCATCATGAGCTGACATCGGTTAGAGAACCATTGGAAAACCTGGGAGTACTGGATAGTTATTTTGTCCTAGTTTGGGAATCATTAGCAGTATGCACCCACTGGGGTTCAAACCCAGGGGTTTCCGGTTACAAGACAAGCTAGCTGGTATACCATTCAGCCACTGAGATCCAGTTCTATGGCCCATGAATTCTAACTTCTACCAATTCGTCACTTAGCGCGACCACCAACCAATGTCATCGGTGGGACATCCATCCTCACAATTGAGTGGATGGACCTCACAGGTCACGACTTCTCACTAGACCTCCAAGAAACTCCGTCCTGTAGCAAGTCGCTAGCAAGCATCAGACTAATTTAAAGTACTAGTTTGTAAGAATTTGATTGGTTTAAACTTAGGCCACGGATTAGTAAAGTGTTTAAGTAATATGGCAAAAAAAACGAGGTAGTACCAAGGAAAATCTATGACAGGAAGTAAGAAATCAATCAGGAAGCATATGGGCTATCCTAGAAATAAATTTCAAAAAAAGTAATAATAAGGACCACATGTTCATAGGAAACATGCACAGAAATAGTACAACACCAAAAATAGTGCTTCCATAGAAAGAAGGAACCTCTGAAACCTTATGTAGAATTCTTAACAAAGCAGGAGTGAAAGTAACATTCACACCCACAAACTTACTGAGAAACAAATTTTGTTTGTTTGAAAGTTTCTGTGGAGACCAGTTTAGTTTATCTAAGACCCGTATTAGAAAAGTTTATTTGATATAATATCGTGATACAGTAATCATAAATGAAGGATGTTTCGAGCACATTTTATCGCTTATAATCATATCTATGCAGTGTTGTTTGATATGATATTCGTGGAGTTCTAGTAAGAAGTCACAACAGTTGCAGTCCACCAGGTCCGGTGGGGGGGGGTTGAGTACTTGTCGACAACAACGGCTGACGAATCAAAAGAAGTTAGAATTCGTGAGCCATTCGATATGCGTATATATATATATATATATATATATATATATACCACGTTGATATCTGTTGCAACATTTTATTGAACAGTTCAAAGGAAAACTTTTCTGACTGTCTAAATTAAATAAAATATTTCCACATGATAAAACGTGTGTGATGAAAAAACGACAGGAATACATCACTGTTAATATAATACAGTGTAACTGTATTGTATGCTTAGCCATCGCCTTCCTCGACGGGCAATGTTAGATGACATAGGGTCAAGTTGGAAAAGAGCCAGTGGTGGTCAAACGAAAACATGGCACTGGTCAATGAAATCCACAACAATTAGTTTAAGCCACGTAGGAAGGTGTTGACTTCCTGGTTGGGGTCCTTAGGGCGGTAAAAACCAAATGGCTGGATACAATCGACGATATGGCTCAAAATCGTTCTCAATGGCTGGCGCAGATGCAGTAGTCATACGCTCTATAATTGAGCTGTTGACTTACCTAGGTTCTCCTTTTCACATCTGATATTTAATTGATTATTTTTATTAAACCAATAATTATTTCATTGTTTTTCTTCTTCTTCTTCTCCTCCTTTCTGTTAGTTTCAGTTAAACTCTGATTCTTTTGATGAATTAAATTTTACAAGTAATGGAAGTATCATATGCAAGTCTACTATGAAGGACTACAAACACTCTGGATGTGATGCTGATAATAATAACAATAACAGTAATAATAATAATATGACGACCAGTCATGATGATAATGATAATGATGTCAATTTCCCTGTATGGGTTGCATTTCGACAAGGTTATGTTTCAGGGAAATTTCTTACCTCACTACCAAATGGACGATGTCGTGTACTTATTCTACCTGGACAAGAAGTAATCGAAGTGAACACTGAAGTGGTGGAACGTGTAAGAGACACTTTTGTAAAAAAAAACTTTTGTTGAAAATTATTTTCAAGTATTGGTTTACAGTGAGACTTAACTTGTTTCAGTTTTGATCATGGGGTTAACATCAGTAAGAGAGTTATTGTACTGACTAGCTGCCTCGTCCTAGTTTCAGGTACTTCGGTAGCAGGGAGAGCACCCATGACCCTGCGTGGGATCCGACTCAGGACCTCCAGGTAACGAGGCCAGCCAGTTAACCTTTCAGCTATGGGAATTGGAATCCACTCGTAAACGAATCCTATTACTTCTGTCCAGCACTCTCTCTGGGTTTTAATGGTTCAAACTTGAAAATTGTTAATACGTTTTATTTTGTTGTTAGCGACCCCACACTGTAATAACAACACCACCTCTACTGAAATTTCAAAGCTTAGAGTTTGAAGTCCTATTTTCCATTCGAAACTAAAAGGAATAGAAAAGAAAACTTCCCCTATTGTCTGAATATATTGCTATGATTATGACGACTTGAGTATTCTTGAAACGTCATCCACATAATGCAATATCGTATCGATGTGTTGTATTAAATAAACTGATTTAATTTGGAATCGTGTCCCACTATAGTGCCCAAACTCCACTATGGGGTTAATATAACAGGATTGTTCGTCCTATTTATTATTCATTCTCATTCATTGGCTATGATTTACAGAGTAGAGTAACTAACTTTGAATTCTTATCTCATATACACAAACTAAATTCACTTATTGTCCATCAAATGTTGGTTTTCATCTACTTAGATGTACGTCGGTGGTTCAGGGGTAGGACACTGGCCGACCATGCACGTGGTCCGGTGTTCAAGTCCCGACTGGCACACTCCTATACCTGCCTTAGCTAGACAAGGAGAGAAGGTTTGGCTTGAGGCTAGCTACCCCACCTCGTAAAAATGAAACCACTGCTACTGAAACTTCAAAGCTAAAGTTTGAAGCCGCCCTATGTTCCACTGGGAACGTAAAGGAATAAAAAAATCTGTTTGGATGGTTGAAAGCAGTTGGTAAGATGCCCTGACCCTAGGTTTTCTACTTGTAGGCACTCATCAGAATTACATATTTGTAATCTCGAAGGAAATGATGTCTCCTTTAGAGATTTGAACCCTGTGTCAATCAGTGTTTCACTCAGAAACATTATCATTGAGCTACTCGAACTCACGAGTGACCTTCTCTAGGACTGAAATTGATACATTGATTCCTGATGTGTCTAGTTCTTAGTGTTGGTAATTCACTGAGTTCATGTATATTCATCTCTTAAAAGTTTATCTGTGTTGCTGATTTTGTTTCAAGTTGTAAACCAGTCAGTTTAAAAATCACTGCTTCAAGTTTTCTTTACCGTTGGTATGGAGTAAAATTAATCTAAGCTGCTGTTGACTCATCGATTTTTGTGGTTGTCAGATAGACAACTACTCAACTAATGTCTATTCCACGTAATAAAATCTTGTTAGGCATGTAGTTTCTTTACTATTCCTGTGAAAGTAAATGTAGTCCACTCTCCAGGTGTTGGTATGAATACCTTTTCTGTTGCTTCAGCTAAGTTATTGATCTATTTACTGCTGGCCAGTGTAAACATCAATATTCTGATGATCCATGCATTTGACAAATGAATCAATGATTACTATTCAACTGTTGCTGTCTATACATGTTGTCAAATATCCAGATCGCAGAGATCCTAGAACTTTCTCTGGTTTCAGAACAGTAAGGCTAATACACAGAATACTATTCACTGTAACCGACGCAGAACAACAGAAAACGGTTGGGCAACACGATTGTTTATTCTTCAGTTGATAATGAAACAGATTTACAATGGTTAATCAGTGCCAAAGTCTGTAAATAAAACTTGAAACGTTAATATAATAATATACAACAATACTTCTGATCATATTTCTCCAATCTTGTGCCAACCAGCACACGATTAAGCAGTGATAGCCTTCTTATCTCCCGCCAATGGGGACCGCTTCGAATAAACAAACTATTCAGTGTTCCCCAGCATTGACACATGAATACCTCAATAATGTGTAACCTTCTCAACCGATTACTTCACTTTCTTAAATTTCTATTTAACTCAGTCAAGGTAAATAATTACAATGAACTGAAGGATTTAGTTCGGTGGCTGGATGGTCGATAGGTTCGCCTTATAACCTGAAGCTATTGAGTTTTCGATCCTACATAAGATCATGAGAGCACACTGATGAAATCTATCAAATCCTTACAATCTAACGCATAGGAAATGAGATTACCACTTTGTAGACATGTGACACATAGGGAGTGTAAAGTCCTCAACTTTCAGCTATTAGATCTTGGGTTCGAATCCTGCTACAAACAACTCTTCAGCCAGGAAAACTGGTTGGTAGCACCATTGACTCTCACGAAATAAATAAAATGTCTGTTCAGGTTAACTAAGTACAATCAACAACAACAACAACGGCATTCATCACATATATACATTGTGGATTATATTATGTCATATCCAATCATTTGAAGTGTTCAATTTTGTCGTTACTCAATTTTTTTTTCTTTTCATTTTTTAACTATTTTTTTTGTCAAGGCAAATCCTTCAAATATGGATCGTGTGGATGATCTTATAAAATTACGTTATGTTAATGAATCTAGTGTAACGCATTCATTTATACAACGTTATGGTTCTGGATTAATATTCACCTATGCTTCAGGTATCAATTTGATCAGTATTAATCCAATGATGCCGTTGAATATTTATTCCGACAAAGTGAGTTAACAGGTTGTTGTTATTGCTTTGTTGTTGTTGTTAAGATCTGTTTCGTTCTGGTTCTGTTAAGCTAGTAATGAGTTTAATGCTTATCTTTATGCTTAAAAATGTTTTAGCATTATTATTGTGTAATAAGACATATATTTTTTTCCTTCACGCTCTCCAGTGGAACAAAGGGCTTCAGGCTAGTGGCTTGAAGTTTCTGTAGCAGTGTTTATTTTACAGGATGGGGTTGGTATGCTCATACCCGACCTTTTCTCTTTACCGGCATTATTTCTGGCTCAGCGAGGTAAAGGAGTGCGTCGGCTGGGGGTCGAACCCCGGACCATGTGCATGGTCGGCGAGTGTCCTAAGCGCTATACCATCGACGCACAATAAGACATATAAAGGGACTTATTTATTTCAAGTCTGATCAGGGATTGATATCAGTTAGAGAACCATTTAAAAAACTTTCAGGGTGTACTGGATACCTGTTTCGTTCTAGTTTCGAACTCATTGGGAGTTCTCACCACCACCACAGAGGGTCGAACCCAAGGGTTTCCGGTTACAAGACAAGCTAGCTTGTAGACCATTCAGTCACTGAGACTTAACTCAATGACCAGCCCACGAATTCATGTTTTTAGCGCGACTGGCACCAGCAAATGAGATCGGCGAGTATTTGTCTTTACACCCGACCGGATGGACATCACTAGTCATAGCTGCTGACCAGAACTCCAAACGCCTTTGTTCTGTAGTCGGTCACTAGTGAGCTTCAAATCAATTATCTATGGATTGATATCAGTTGAGTAATAGGGGGGGGGTTGACGTGAGTGATATAAGTACTTGAAAGTGGATCCAAATTTAAAATAATGCTTGATATAATAATAATATAATAATAATTATAGATTATTATTATTATAATTGTTTCCTTTAATTCCTAGAGGAACATAGGGCTTCAGCCGTACGTCTCCATTGCGTTCGGTTCTCTGCCAATTGTCTGTTTCGTCGTTTTGTATCTTATCAGCTGCATGCACAACCTGAATAATGAAAGCCAATAGTTCGATTACAGTTTTAACATACTTTTTCTCCAATTTACTAGATTATATTGAAAACTGTAATAGAACTATTGATTTTCATCACTCAGGTTGTATTCAGTTGATAAGTTGCTGATAGACGAAGTAAACAATGCGTCTGTTTTATCCTTTTTCATGTGATTTTATTGTTTTTTTCAAATATATATACGGTGGGTGTGTTGTTTTTGAAATACTGTAGGCGTGTGTTTATTCCATTCATCATGTTGTGCTGTAATTAATGACTAATAAAATCATTTTAACAATCGATTCGAATATTGTTTTTTAAAAACTTCATACAATTCTTCCCATTAATAAACTTGAACAAAGCAAGAACAACAATTGTACCAGGATAATATGAGCTCATCTTCTATTATTTCGAGGATTCTTCTCAACTGGTTACAACCTGAACGATGAAAAATATGAATTACATTACATTAAAGATTTGAACATAATTTTCCACGATCACAAGGAGTAATTGGTAGGAAGTAAAAGTAACATTAGTCCGGAATGATTTAACTAATTATGAGTTACAAACACTGACAATTTATAGAATAATTCAAATGAACTGTGATCAATATTTGACAGTTTATAAATATTTATAGAATAATTAGGCAATTAGGCTTGGAAACAAAAACAAGCTGTTGTATATATATATATATATATATATTTTGTCACCAAGGCAGTGCAAGATTCACCACTGTCTCTTTCTGCGTACATAGATTTGGTTTCAGTCGTCTGATAGCAATTGCTTCAGCAAAGCGTAGCAAGTTAGGTTTCTTTTGCTTGTTGATTATTTTGAATGACTTCAAGTTGTCTACATTATGACCAGTGTCTAATAGATGACGCGCAATTGCACTGTTTAATACTTGTTGACCTTTCAGTCTCAGGTTCTTTGGTATGTGTTCAGAAATGCGGACAATAACCCTTCTCTCTGTTCTTCCGATGTAGGTGCTTTGGCACGTACATGTAAATTGGTAGAAAGTACATGGTTTAATGTTTTATAGGATATGAATATTGTTAAGAAACATAGATTTCAGATGTTATGAGAAGATTACCATTAGAAAGGTAGCTATGAACCAGGGTTTTTTGTCCGGGGGCGGGGGCACATATCTTCGAGGGATTTGTGTAACCCTTTTTCTTTGTGAACATTTCAACTTTGATCATTCACTGACGTTAATCGAAAAAAAAAACAGTTCACCACTTACCTGTTCTAGTGACAAAGGCTTCCACCTTTTGTGGTAAACATGTCCGGCCAATAGCAAACACCGATCATCATCTATAGAAGAAATCCTGAGGAAGTCGCCTCTTGCAACTTTTTGTAGACAGCATCGTTTCAACCACAGGTGACTTGGATGAGGATATGGGCCATATTACCCTGAAATCAGTTTGGAGATCTATATAACTTAATACAACGAATAAGATCGGAATTTTCAATTCTGGTGTCAAGTCAATAATTCTAATATGATTAAGAGACCTAACGCATGTGCCATCAAAAGCATTCCCACCGAGAGGTTGTCACAGACTTTCATCAACAGCTTCTTTCGCTGGCCAGCCGGAAATAATAATAATAATGAGCAACAGGGAATTCTGGAAATAAAGCGAAATAGCCAGAAACCTATTTTTTGCCCAATACATATGCTGAAAGAAATGGAGGGGGGTTTAGCATACACTGGCTATACCTGTAGGAGACATCGTACACTAAGTTCTCAAGTGGAGCTGGAATCGAAAGTGACGATATGAGTATTCGAGTGTGTAATATGCATGGAAGGTAATGTAAAGAGATCAATGAAAGTGTTGTGGGTAGTCATAGGGCTAGTCAGAGAACTGAGTACAATAGAGATGTGCTTTTAAGACCCTATTTTCCACTCAAAACCCAGTGAATGAATAATGAAAAGCATATTCTAGGTACAACTGTAGGACTTGATAATAAAAATGACTAAATCATTGGATGGTAATCAGTGCTAATCTGTTCAATTATTTATTAATACCTTGTAATTTAGAAGTTGATCTTCTGTTTTAATATATTTTTTTATTTGAATCTGTTTTTCATGCATACATGACATTGACCGGGTGTGCTCCGATCACTTCATAAGATACTATAATTTATGATGTTCATAATTATAAGATATAGAAGGTATATAAGGAAAGAACCGTTCAGTGCTCTCTTCTTTTCAACGGTTCGTGTATATCCTTGTTTGGTTAGTTATATAACCAGTTGATTGTGTGTGTGCATACTACAGATTGATATATGTAATCGGAAATTATTCGCATCAAATAGTATTGCTTGCTACCCAGGTTGAAGTAATTTAAACACCGTCTCGAGTACACACCAAGCGAGAGGAACTTCGATTCGATCTGGCTTGGGCACACTTTACTGCTTGATGTAAATGGATTCCAACTACTCATATGAAAAGCAATCAGTAGTATACGGTATTGTGCTATTTTGGTTGCTTTCTTCATAACCATTTATTTGTGTTATCAAGCAGATTGCATATTGGATATCTGAATCTTTTTCAATCAAATTCATACGCAATTCCGAGTGGGGGAAGCCGTGACCAGTAGGGTACAGCAGGTTGAAGATGAGGCAGTAACTCATCGAAGAAGACATTGGGAAGTGGTCGCGCCATGTTATGAATTGGCAGAAGTTAGAATTCATGGGCTGGTCATTGGATCGGTTCCCAGTGTCTGAGTGGTCTACGAGCTCGTCTTCTAACCAGAAGGTCCTCGGTTCGAACCCTGGCGGTGGATGCGTACTGATGAAGAGTCCCAAACTAGGCTGACGAAACAGCTGTCCAGTACTCACAGGTTTTCCAGTGGTTCTCTAACTGATATCAGCTCATGATGAAATCCTCCAGCCAATCAAATAAAACCCTTACAAACCCAATACTTGATAATTTTGTTCTACAGTACTTATTTTGTATCTAGAACATTACCTTGTCTGTATAGCTGTCTAACAGCACAGTTGAGGTAATTTTGAGTTTCTGATATTCTTATTGAATAGAACCATCGATTTTACGGTGAATAACCGTCGCTTTGCTGTCGTCTTCGGAGAATATTTTGACTGTACATGACTCAAATAAGTTTTACTCAGGTATACAGTAGGACGTAGAGATCGGTTTTGCTGCGTTCACATCACAAGAAGTTAGTTTTGTTCGTTACAACCTAAATCGAATTCATGATTTGCAAATTAGTTCTCAATGTACACATTTTGAACTGAGTCAAACCGACTACACAGCTGATTAGTTCAGCTACAAATGAGCGAAACAGCCGTTCGGTGTTTAGATCCCCCTGATCTGGCTAAATAATAAGCACTACTGGTTGGTGTGTGCATTGGTATGCAACTACTCATTTCAATTAATCAGTAGTACAAAGTCTTATGTATTTTCGCTTGGTTTCTTGATTACCACTTCTGATATTATCAAGAAGATCAGATGTTGTGATTTGAATAATTTTGCTCCCCCAATTGAAAGTGCGGTAAAATTTTACTTCGATTGTATGGAGGATTTCATTATGAGCTGACATCAGTTAGAGAACCACTGGAAAACCTGGGAGTACTGGACAGCTGTTTCGTCAGACTAGTTTGGGACTCTTCATCAGTACGCATCCACCGCCAGGCTTCGAACCCAGGACCTTCTGGTTACAAGGCGAGCTAGCTCGTAGACCATTAAACCACTGGGACCCGATCCAATGGTCAGCCCATGAATTCTAACTTCTGCCAATTCATGGTATAACGTGGCCACTTCGCAGTGTCTTCTTCGATGGGTTACTGCCTCACCTTCAACCTGCTGACCAAAATTCACCCGTAAGAATTACCTTGGAATCCCAACAAGGTGGGATCAAAACTTTGTCCGTAAGAATCGCACACCAATAATTCCCACAGTGACAGTTCGAGGTCTAAATGACCAAGATTTACTCAAACAAAGTGACATCGTGTAACGGCACATGATCAATGTTTCGCACAACCACAAAGAGAAGCACTAAGATTAGAGATTAAACAGGAAGGCACAAAGGCAAATAATAAGGATTAAGGTAGTATATGATATGCCGACGTCAGAACAACAATAATAATATATATATAATACAAGAACGGAGAATAATTACAAAGTTTCTCGAATCAAGGGGAGGGATTTTCCAAACAGTTATCCTGTTACATCGACTAGATCATCGCATATTATGTGATGTGAATATTTGGTTTTTAGTTTTAAATCTAAAATGGCAGTGATTCTTTCCTTAAACCGTGTTTGCTATTTTCAAATGTGACAAAGTTAATTCTAACCGACAATTTACTTAAACAATTTCGTTGTTTTTTCTTTTTGGTTTTCTTGTTTTGAAACGAAAATTATTCACAAAGGTTATGGATTTGTTTACGGATTGTGAAATACGCTATGATATGCCACCGCATGTCTACTCTGTGGCTCAATTAATTCTAGCCCGTTTAAAACGTCGATTATTCCATACACATAGAACAATAGAAGAACAGTTGAATAATAATAATAATGATCCAGTTTATTATAGTTTACCATATTCTTCTCTTAGTCAACAAGTTCTCTGCTTGTTAGGACGTTCTGGTTCAGGTAAAACACGTGTATCCAATGATGTACTCGCTTATATGATTTATCAATCTGAAAAGTTAATACAAAAGCACAATCACTCAAATGGTAACAGTAATAATGATAATAAGAATGATGTTTTATCCAGTAAAATCAATGGTAAGTCTCTTTTATATTGTGAAGTAATATAAAGTATTTTAGTGAGGTGTAGACTTCATCATTTTTCACATTTTTGTTTTCTGTATTATAGCCAGTCAGCTAGTTAGTTATTTATTTGTTTAGTTTAACTGAAGGGTAGATTGTTCGATTGATGATCATGAATATATATAATGAAAGTGATACTTCTCATTGTTAGGAATGCAATGAGCGGAATGAAAGTGCTCTTTTTCACACACACAGTCACACAGAATTTCGATATGATAGCCTACATCCCTGATGTAATCTAAGTGTAATTCTGGTAGGTAGGTAAGTGATAAATCTATCTATCTATATGTCTGATCACCAATTCTTTTATTTTTTGATCTCTGTGGTTAGTCAGATCACAGTTATTGTGACAAGAACAACAACAAGAAAAATACACAACCCTAAAATAAGCAAACTTTTATATGATGTACTACTGTCAAATTTGTTTTTATTCTTTAAAGAAAACATATCATACTTCTGATACTGATAAGTTCTTCATAGTTTTCTAATGGCTGCTTTTCTTTTTTCGCTTCTTCTTTTTGGATTTTATTGGGGACATACCTCAACAACAACAAAAAAAGAAACTCTTAGTATTATGTGTAACGTATTGATAGAAAAATGGTTGTTTTTTTCTCCTCAGTTTTTCACCACTAACCACTGTTACTACTGAAATACTACTGATATATGAGATGAGTAGACGACAGTAATGCATGATATTGGTGATGTACAATATACATATATCTTCATAGAAGAAGGAGAGAAGATAGGAATTAAAGAGAACACAGAGCTAATGAAGACGCCTAGCGAATAATCACCACTAACGGGGAAAATTTGAAGAAAGTCCCTTATTTCACTTATTTAAGTAGTATCATTTCACTTAAGATCCGGATTTTCAACTCCAATATGAATTCAGTCAGTGCTACTATACGGATCAGAGACTTGGCACTGCGCGTCATAAAGAGCATCTCAAACAAACTACAGACCTTCATTAATAGTTGTCTTCGCTCAGTACTCAAGATCAGATGGCCAGGAAAGACCAGTAACAGAGATCTCTGGGAGCAAACCAACCAGAAACCGATTGTGAAACAAATAGGCATGAAGTAATGGAGATGGATTGACCATGCTCTGAGAAAACCATCAAGTGACATCACTAGACAAGCCATTGCTCGAGTGGAAGCCGAAAGGGAAGCGGCGAGTTGGTCGTCAGTGCAAGGGTGACTTGGAGGAGGTCATGTAAAGAGGAGATGTAAACGTGTGGGCAGACTTGGAGCCAGGTGAAGATTCTAGCAGAGAACCGAACGCAAAAGAGACGCACGGCTGAAGCCCTATGTTCCTCTAGGAATCAAAGGAAACAATAATAATAATTTCAACTACAGGTATCAGATGAAGGTGTCAAAGCCAGGATCATCGGACCTTCATCACACTGAAATCAGTCTTGAAATCCACTGCACTCAACTCTGCATCAGACACAAGATCCGGATCCTCGACACCAATATCACATCAGTCAGTTCTTCTATATAGTTCAAAGACATGGTGCGTCACGTTGAAAGCATTTTGAATAGGCTGTGGACTTTCATCAATAGATGCCTTCGGTCCATACTGAAAATCGAATAATTAGGAAGAAATTCTAGCAGTGCAGTCAGCCAATCAACAATCTATCTCCCAAAAAACTGCAGTAATTATTTAATATAAAAGGCTTATGTGTAGCATTTGTCAAACTTACCTCATCTCTAATGTAGACATATAAGGAGTGGACATCTGAAACCCTACGTAGGATTCTTAATAAAGCAGGAGTTAGAGTGGTATTTAAACCTACAAACTCACTCAGGGGCAATATGTGTAGGTTAAAGGACCTTGTGGGTTGACCCAATTAGATAAAATAATATGATTTACAAAATACCTTGCAATAACTGTGAGGTCAACTGCATAATTCAAACTAGTAGTTCAGGGGTAGTCAGATTGTCGGAACATAAGAATTTGGCTAAGGTAAGAATGGTTGACCCCGACAAGATAAGTGATTTAGAAAAAAGGTCCGCAATTGCAATGCATGCATTAACACAACCACACAATAGCATGGTGGGAGAGGGTTAAGATTCTAAAAAGTAATCTAGGTAGGTGGAGAGAGAGGTTGATTACTGAATCCTTGTTCATCGAATCTACACCCAACACATGCAATAAGAATGATTCATCACTCATACCGGAAATATGGAAAATAGTACTACCAATCAAATCAAGTGAAAAACAATGGAACTATATAAATGAATTTAGGAAGTCGTGTGATTACTTTGATATGATTATGAGCAGCAATGAATTGTGCCCGAAACGTCATCAGTAAATATTACTGTATAACACTGTGAGACTCTATCAAAAAAGAAATTTACCCATAATGGAGACATAAAATCCAGCTATCATCGATCAACGGATGTATGTGTGTACTGCGCAGCACTTCACTATATCTCCTCCCTTATGGCTGTGAGACATGGCCATTGAAAGTGGAAGATTCGACTAAAAAAGTCTAGTTGTCCTTAGCCACAGGTTTTTGCGTTCTATCACCCTTGTTAAATGATATGATATGACGAATAGTATTGAGGTTGGGCGTGTATAGTGTTAAGTAGATAAGGAGGATAAGTCAGTTGATGCATTTGTGAACCCACGTTGATTGAGATGGCTAAGACATGTGTTGCGCATACCAAGCCATTGCCTTCTTCACCGAGTAATGTCAACTGACATAGAGTTAGGTTGGAAAAGAGTTAGCAGTGGTCAAATCAATACCTGGAATCAATCAATGAAGTCTTTGCAGTTTGTTTGAACCACATAAGGCGCGTAATAGGCTAACAGCCAATGGCTGGAGACTATTATTGGCATGGCTCATAATTATTTTCTATGGCGAAGATTACATTCATGCCTTCTAATATGCTATATTCATTAAATCCTCATGTTTTTGTCGTGTTAGTATTCTTTCTTCTGTGCATTTTTGCTTATCGTAGTTCTTTTGAATTTTATTCTTCTTTCTTCTCGCTAAACGTGCATGCCACATGGGGTGTGGCAACTTGAATTGGTGCGCTTCTGAGCTGAGTTCATTCAGTCAAAAGCTACTCGCTGACGTCAAGCGGTAATAGTAGTATCAATGGATAATAAACTGATATTTGGTCCCATCATAGTATTTGTTACTTGATAATATTCTATGATATTCGGTTATTAACATGGGTAGAAAATCGACCTGGTCTTTATTATCCCTATTCGGGCCTGGCGCGTAATGCTACCTAATAAATTTCCCCAGCGTTTATCCAATCTATCTCGATTTCCCGCTGCACAGTTTTTGGGAGATAGATTCTTGGTTGGCTGACTGCACTGCTAGAATTTCTTCCTAATTATTCGATTTTCAGTATGGACCGAAGGCAGCTGTTGACGTAAGTGCACAGCGTGTTCAAAATGCTTTCAACGTGACGCACCATGTCTTTGAACTATATAGAAGAACTGACTGACTTGATATTGGTGTCGAGGATCGGGATCTTGTTTCTGATGCTGAGTTGAGTGCAGTGGATTTCAAGACTGATTTCAGTGTAATGAAGGTCCGATGATCCTGGCTTTGACACCTTCATCTGACACCTATAGTTGAAATGGTACTACTTAAATAAGTGAAATAAGTGACTTTCTCCTAAATTCTGCCCGTTAGTGGTGATTATTGATTAGGCGTCTTCATTAGCTCTGTGTTCTCTTTAAGTCCTGCCTTCTCTGCTTCTTCTATGAAGATATATAAATATTGTCCGGATGCTGGACAATTTTGGACCATCCTGTAGACACCTGTGTTTGTAGCTTCATGGGTTATTTTTCATGTTTTTCTTCGACCGCACTTGACTGTTTTTCAATCCCAGTCATAATCTAAGTAATATTTTTCTTGGAGGAACATATTACATACTCATGTGTAACTCATATCCAAATCACCTTGATCAATGAAATTTCACAAACTCATTGACTGATCGACTTTCTCTTTTTAAGCTCATAATTTTAGTTTGAAGTTTATTAATTTGTAAAATTTGCAATAATTCAGATGAATGGGCGTTTGAATTTATCAATTTATCAATCGTTAATAATTGCATTACAATATTTAATACTGAAGAAATTAAATGGAAATAATAAAAATAATAATAATAATGTGTTAGTAACAATCATAGCGTCATGAAGAGCACCTCAAACAAACTACAGACCTTCATCAACAGCTGTCTTCACTCGATGCTCAAGATCGAATGGCCAGAAAAGATCAGCGACAGGGATCTCTGGGAGCGAACCAACCCAGCAGGAACCAATTGTGCAACAAATAAGCAGGAAGAAATGGAGGTAGATTAGTCATACTCTTAGAAAACCATCAAGTGAGTGACATCACGCGCCAGGCCATCACTCGAGTGGAACCCAAACAGGAAGCGGTGAGTTAGTTGGTGGTCAGTGCGAGGGGGGCGGTCATTTGAAGAGGAGATGAAAACATGCGGGCAGACGTGGAGCCAGATGATGAAAACGTTAGCAGAGAACCGAACGTAATAGAGACGTGCGGCTGAGGCCCCATGTTCCTCTAGGAGCTAAAGGAAATAATCATAATAATAACAATCATAGAGTTTGTGACAGCTGGGTGAACCAGTTATTTTAATAGTCTTTACATGCTAGGCAGATGCTGTTAGAAAGCTTTTGACTAGTTTTCAACTAGGAATATCAATTTGGTATTAACAGAAATTTTAAAGGTACTTATTGAATCTTGTTTTATCTAAAGCATCCATTATGCCTTTTAAGTTTACGTAGATGGATTAATTTCGACCCAGATAGAACATAGAACTTCAAGGTTTTTGAAGTTTCAGCAGCATTGGTGTAGTTTCTTTTACAGGAGCTGGGGTGGGGTTGTTAGCCTTACTCACAAACTTTATCAGCTAGCAAACTAGTTAGGTTTTAGGAGTACATCGGTCGGGAATGGGACCCCGAACTCTGTTACTTGGTCGTTCTCATGTTACTTATGTAAAATGTGTACTCGATATTTAGATTTAGTCACCCAGTGGATTTTCTCTTAGTAACAATAATAATAGTGATTTACTTTATTCCAAAAACAGTACTTGTGATACAGAATGGAATTTTCAGCATTAATCACAATATTGCATTTAATTTCCTCAAATTATAAATAAAATTAATCACACAGAAAATTTTTCTACATTTACAATAGGGTTAATATAAAAAAAAAAATAAAAGATAAAAAACATGCAGCGTATAAAATGGAAATAATAATAATGATAGCAGCAAAGGTAATGATAATAATACAAGTGGAAATTGCCGTGGGCTTGTTTCACACAATATTGTCGATGCTCTATAGAAATCCTAGCATGTTTAAAAATATTGAATATGATGTTCTCTTTACATGATATGATGAGGGAAAAAAACAAAGATTACAGCAGTCATAGAGATTAGTTGGTGTTTGCAGTTATGAGCGTAAAACAAAGGAGCAACATGACCATAAATATAATAGAAATAATAAAAGTAAAAATTGAAGGTATATAAAGATGGATGGAAGAGATTGTTTATTTACTAGATGAAAAAAGGTTAGTCAATTCTTGCCATACGCTATTTTCATCACATAAAATACGTGCCAAGTATGGTATCATAGAATTTTTATACTTAGACGTGAGAGCATACAGTTTTCTGAAGTTACTTTTTGTTCTACCTGGTGAGGTGCAAGGTGAAAGCTGAGGGTGAAGTGGATGCTCCAAGTCAGACAAAATCCCTTTAGCAAATTTACTGCACGAAGTCAAATGCCTATCAACAACGACGTTAACTATGTAGTCCACTGGGACACCACTCATCCTACTGACAGTCTTCATCATTCTACGAATTGTGACAAAGTCCTTTTTAAGCAAACCAGAAAAGAATAAGGGTGAACAATAAAGAAGAATAGGTAGGATGCAAGAGTTTATGAACTGTAAGAGGAGGGATTGAGATATACCCGAGTGCCTTAACTTCTTAGTGTAAAATGTCAGGCGGAATATTTTACTGGAGATCGCTAAGACATGGGAAGACCAGGAGAGATCAGAAGAGAGAATAAGTCCAAGATACTTAATTTCTGATATATATATATATATATATTCTACATCAAATTACACTTAAATTTCTTTTTAAATTAAAGCTTCTCGTCTTCGTGCACTATTCAATCTACTTGATTCATTCACTTGTTCACGTATTGTACTCAATACAAATGGAAGTCGAGCTTTACGTTTATTCTCATTGGAATTTGCCAAAATTCATTCACTGCCAATTGTAAATCAACCTGAAGATATTGGTTTAATGATTACAGGTTTGACAACACGTCTATTACTGTTTGAGCGTAGTCGTGTTACAGATCGACCTGAAATTGAACCGAATTTTCATATATTTTATTATTTATTAGCTGGACTGGATGATGAATCAAGGTAAGCTGGTGTTGTTTATTTATAGAGTAGTGTAGTACAGCACTGAATATTTGATTTATTCAGATTGAACACTTTTTAAAAGTATGTTTTCCGCGTTTTTTCATTCCTTGGCTCGCCTATAACATTAGCTAGCTGCAGCTGTATATGTCGTGAATCGGTAGAAGTTAGAATTCAAGGCCTATTTGATTGCTTTCCACTCATTGGTGGCTGAGTGGTCAACGAACTCGTTTTATAATCTGAAAAGTGTGGGCTCCCCTCTCAGTGGAGTGATGGATACATACTACTAGATAGTACCAAACTAGGATGAAACTTAAGAAAAAGGCACAAACAGTGAAAAAAATATTCTTTTCGACAATTCATTTTCATGAGCTGTACAATCGTAATTATAATTAACAAAGAAATCTTTAGACCAATGAGACACTGGTAAACTTTATCCTTGGAAAAATTGTATTACATAATGTAAGGTGTAAGAAGGGATGACTAATTGTAAATTAGAAAGGAGACAGAAGTTGGCATGACGTAATAAGTGTGAGATAATGACTAATCAATAAGCTCGTGTAGAATGGACAGGAACTAGTGGAAAGACTATAAAGTGTTTTTGTATAAAATCTGTATGAAAAGCAATGTTATCAATAAACAGTAATAGAGTGGTAATAAAATGTGGATGATGGGAATAATAATGATAATAAAAGTATTAATAAAATAAAATAGAAATATTAATAGTGAACTTACATAATAAAGGAAAGAAGCGAAATTGTGGTAAGAACTTTACTCTGGCCATGGTAGGGCAAGAGAATGTATGTATCGCTTTTGGATGCAGAGGTCCGGTTCCATATGTCGAATAGCTAATGTTTCAGCTATGTTCAGATGGCGTATCCGAAGTCCCTTTGTACGATATTGAGGGACTCTGTGTAACACTGTGAAGCATTCACGTGGGGGTGCTCGATGTCTGGATATGACCAGGTTTTCGAGTATTGAGCTATTCTTCTTTTCTCCTCTGGCTAACCGAGCTGGACAGTGTTCCAGAATACGTTTGTGGACTTGACGTTGCGTACGGCCGATATACTTTGCTCCACACGAGCAAGTAAATTGATAGATACACATTGAAGTGGCCAAAATCGGTATCTTGTCCTTATCGTTAGACTGGATTAACTGTCTGCAGGAGAATGTGATACATAGAGTGGCTGTTGCGAATGTCTTCTTCAGACATTTAGAAAGGCGGTTTCTGGGGATTTCCGCTGCGATATCACCTTTGAATTCTAGGTTCATGAAGAGAGTCTTCTTAGGAACCGTCGCGATGTTTGACACCGGAGGCTTCTCCTTCATGTTTTTTGTCGATAAATCTTGGTGGATACCCATTCTCTAGTAGGGTTTCACGTAATAAATTTAATTCTATCTCTAACATGTCTTCCTTACATTTTGTAATACAATTTTTCCAAGGACAAAGTTTACCAGTACCTGATTGGTCTAAAGATTTCTTTGTTAATTATAATTGCGATTGTACAGCTCATGAAAATGAATCGTCGAAAAGAAAATTTTTTTCTCTGTTTGTGCCTTTTTCTTATGATTCAATATGGGAATATTTCGTTCATAGGATGAAACGGCTATCTGGTACCCCGAAGTTTTCAATCTTCTTGTGATTGATGCCTGTTCGTAATGAAATCTGACTTGATGTGTAGAATCACATTTTTTACCTATTAAAATAAACTTCAAATGAAACTAGTTTTAAAGTATAATATATATCAAAACATTGTCAAGAGTTAGTTTATAGGGATTTGATTTGCTTTGAAGATTTTCATCATAGATGTAAAAGCCACAACCAGTTTGGAAATCTGCTGTCACTCAGCATAAATAACAAGATTCGGATTTTCAATACAAATGTGAAGTCAGTCAGTCAGTTCTTCTATATGGATCAGAAACCTGCACTGTGTGTCACGAAGAGGATTTCCAACAAGTTACAAACTAACATCAACAGCTGCCTTCCCCTCGCTGGTTGCACACTGAAGATCAAATGGCCAACTAGAAGGAATTGGCAACAAGACGTTCTGGCTGAGGACAAACTAACAGGCGACAGTCGATTGCTCAAGAACTACGCAGGAGAAAATGGAGGTGGATTGATCGGCCATACGTCGAGGAGGTCGTCGAATGACATCGTGCTCATTGCAGGCCAATGCTCGAGTGGAATCCCAATGGGAAGCAACGAGTGGGTCGTCGATGTGAGGGTGACATGGAGGAGATCGTGCGAGGGAGAAATGAAAGATTGTGGTCAACCGTAGACCCAGCTGAAGAGGACAGCAGAAAGTAGAAGAAGGTGGGGATGTGTTGTTGAAGCCCTATATTCCTCTCGGAACCCAAGAGAATAATAATAGATTGATATCAGTTAAAGAACCAGTGAAAAAAGTACTGGATCTCTGTTTCCTCCTTTCTTTTGGGACTCTCCATCGGAACTCAACCACTGGGATTCAGACGCAGAGCCTTCCGGTTACAAGTCAAGCTCGTAGACCATTCAACCATTGAGACCCGACTCAATGGCCAGCCGATGAACTCCAACTTCTCCAAACTCGTGATTTTAGCGTGACTGGCACCAGGCAATGTGATCAGGGAGTATTCGTGACCCCCACTGGTCACGACATCTCACTAGAAGAATTGCGGGCGACTTCATCCTGCAGCCAGATTGATTTGCAAGGGTTATTTATAGAGATTTGATGTGTTTCAAGTCTCATCATGGATTAATATCAATTGATACTGATGTTTTTTTAAATATTTTGACCAAAGTGTTTTCATCTTTCCATTTTTAGACGTGAATTATTCTTAACTGATTTAGACGCGCCAAATTTGTTTATGACTCGTCTACACAGAGTAAGTTTCTGGTGATCTTTAGAGAAAAATGCTTATTTATGATATCTTAATGCATTGTGTTATTACTTTGATTTTTGTTTTACTGGATTGCTTGTGGTGCAGTGTTAGGCAGCACCAGCTTACAATTTCCGTGTCCTACGCCTCAGTGTTCTTTGTCTCACCAAGTGGTTAGTGGAGTTAAGGCTTTTGCAAAATGACTCTAGAATTTGATTAGGGTCTCATTTGTGGCATTATCCTAGTTAATAGTAGGAACCCCCCCCCCCCAAAAAAAACTATACGGAGCTTATGAATTCAGTGTTAACATGTAGTGCAGGTAAGTTATACTCGATGAAGCTTTAGTTCTTCATTAAGATATCTGGTGCTTATACGTACTCGCTATCTACCTCAGTGTATCAAGAGGACGAATACTAGAGGGAGACAGATAGAGAGAGGGAGATACCTATATGTATTACTAATCGATGATTTATTGACTACTGTTCATCTATGCCAGAATGGGGTTCATGCAACAACTTAAGTTTGTAAAATCAGACACGAGAGATCCTATGGTGCAGATATGGAGTTACTGTTTTCTTTTACATTGAGCTGGAGTTCTTTGTTAGACTTCAACATAAATTGACAGCATTTAGGGAACCACTGAAAATCATGGAGTACAGGATAGTTGTTTCATCCTGGTCGTACGCTCTTCAACATAGCACACACATGACCTCACCGGAGGTCGAACCTAGGACCTTCAGTTTGTGTAGTGGTTACGTTATCATATAGCCACTGGGATGGTATCCGAATTCCCATCTACAACAAAAATAATCCAATAGTACACAAATGAAACTGAAACACACTGCGGAGCACTCCGGTTTTGAGGAGAATCGAAAAGAAATATTTAGTAACTGTCTTCAGGAAAAAGTGTGGATACCTTAACAATTTCATGAAGAAATGTTTAAACTCGAATGAGACTACCAGCAGGAAATCATCCTCAGAAACCAAAAGGAAATTCATTCGATTGTATATCTACATAAAGAATGTTACTGAAATAACGGTTAAAATACTAAAGCCATTCGCACACAAACCAATGCAATCACTACATTCAGTGCTATACAGACTAAAAGACCCAACAGCAAAAAAACAATACACAATCAACAGTATCTACAAAAGCCGTTCATGAATAGTTTTCTATCAAGAGTTAGCAAATGGTCTTCGTCTAATGGCCTTAAACTAAATCCTTCCAAATGTCAGACTGTTAATTTCAGTTTCCGATGTAAACGAAAATTAAATGAAGCTGTTGATTCCTATGACCGTTGCAAAATTGATGATACTGACATAGAAATCAAGTCTGAAGTTAAGTATCTTGGATTAATTCTTTCTATTGATCTATTCTGGTCTTCCCATGTCTTAGCGATTTCTAAAATAATATTTCGTCTGACTTTTTACATTAAGAAGTTAAGGCACTCAGGTACAACTCAACCATCGCCTCCTCTTACAGTTTGTCAACTCGTGCATCATACCTATTCTTCTTTACTGTTCACCCTTGTTCTTTCCTGGATTGCCTAGAAAAGACTACGTCATACTTCGTAGAACTCTGAAGACTGTCAGTAGGGTGAATGGTATCCCATTGAGCCATATCATTGACATTGTCATTGATTGGCACTAGAGTTCATGCAACAAATTTGCTAAAGGAACTTTGTCAGACTGTGAGTATCCACTTTACCAGCAGCTCCAACCTTGTGTCTCCTCAGGTAAAACAACAAGTCTTTTCAGAAGCCTTTATGCACGTACTTCTAAGTATAAAAATTCCACTATACCATATTTGGCACGTACTTTTTGTGAAGAAAATAGTGTTAGGCATGAACTAACTAACCTTTTTTGCACTATTAAATAAACCCTTACAATATCAACCTTTATTCTTATTGTACTTCTTATACTGATAGTTCTCTCAATTTTTTCATTTTTTATTTGTTTATTTTTTCATAAGTGTGAACATCATTTAAGCTGTTTTACAAAACTGAATTTTGTCTTTCCCCTCACCATGCTATATCAACAAAACAGTAGATATAATAATCTATAACATGCTAAAATTTTCAAAATAAATCGCAAATACTGTCTGGAACAAACTCACTGTTATTGTTATTATTAGTATATTTATTATTCTCATTTTCTACTTCGGATATTTATGAATTTATGCCTTAAATGTGGACAAATTCCTCTGGTTAATTTTGTTTTAATTTCTAGTTTTATTTATATTTTGAATAAATCAGATGCAATATTAAGACAAATGCTGAGAATCCTATTCTGTATTATAAGTAGTGCTATTTTTGGAATAAAATAGATTGTTATTAATATTATTATTATTACTCTCCCCTCCCCGCACTCCTGCAGAAGACTGAATAAAAGGAGAGCGACGATAACAACAAAACAAGTCTACTTACTGCAATTAAAAAAGTGTTCTTATTGATTTTTTTCTCTCTGTCTCTGCAGCTGTCAGTCATAACAGGCGACAGAGAAATATAGCTGCTTACACTAAGGATCAGTTATAGTAGTGATGATAATAATAATGGTTTTCGAGTTTATAAACATAACTGATGTAAAACTCTTCAAATACTTCAATGAAATAATGGATATACACTAATTTGACCTTGGGGCGTTAATTCACCGTATTGTGTGCTCCCGTTGTGTTTAGCCGCAAAGAATTTCTGCAATGCTTTTGAGGGATGTCTAGCCGTCTGTTGACTGGTGGAGAATGCCCACAAGGTGTTCTGGATGTTGTTGAAGGCGCTATTGGCTACCTTGCTTTGTCGGTTGGATATACAGCCATTGAATATGCTGCACTGAGAGTGCTTTCAAATCTTTTCTTCTCATTTACTGAAGACTTAGCTGTTTCTTCACTTATGAATGCTGAAAGCACTGGAAGAACGTCAATCCTTTTGAGCGATATCGTACTTGGATTAATAGATTTGGGGTTTGATGTTTCAGGCCTAAATGAAATCCCCCGTAAACGCATGTACAGAGGATGTAAAGAACCTGTTGCCATTGGCGGTTCACAAAAGAAAGGTGTTTCATGCTCTGCAGTATTGGGTCCAGGTGGGACAACAATTATTCCTCGACCGTTGTCTTTACGTCTTAATTGGTCGGGCAATCCTCGTCTTGGTGCAATGGGATCTACATGTACTTCTAATTCAGGTGCTTCAGACCAACTGTCATCTTCTTTACCACCTCCAGCTCCTGCACACCTACAGCTTCCTTCACTACCTGAACCACACACCTTTGTAACCACACGAGTTAGGCGTGCACCAATAGCTCCCGACCCAGCTTCATTACGCCGTCGTGTAGCTGAACAGCGTCGTAAAGTTCAACAGTCCTTGATTCGATTTCTGGGTCGTGTTCAGCCCGTTCAGTATCTGTTTCCGGGTGATGCAGAATCATTTATGCTGATAACTCCAAAAACTTCTCATCGTCCGTACTTATCAGCTTTACTCGCTGGTGCATCAACAAGTAAGGATGAACAAAATTCTAAATCAAACACCTTGACAAAGAGCGTCTCTAATCAACCTGCTGTAGTGAAAAATCGATTTTTGCTAAAACCGAAATTCCCTGAATATTGACCTACACTGGCTACCTTTATTTCGCATATATTTCCTTCCTTTTCGTTTCTAAGGATTATTCTTAAGATTGTCATTTATTCAAGTCTGGACTTACTTTTTGTTAGAAATTACTCCTTTAACTGTCCAGCACGAATTTGTTCAGCAATACTGGCTTGTTGTCTAGCAGCGACATTTTTCTACACTGCTTTTTTGATTCTTTCGTTTTCCTTTTGTTACTTACGTTTCTTCTTCCCCTAACTTACAACCATTTCTAAGTCTTTGATACGTTTACTGCTGGCTTCTTCAGTTTTGATAAATGACATTATAGATCAGCATTATTAAATACAAGCTGTCTGGTTACACTTATTTAAATTACCTAAACTATTTTAAAAAAAGTTGATTTTCCCCATTTTGAACTGCGTCGGTGGCATAGCGGTTAGGACGCTCGCCGACCATGCACATGGTCCGGGGATCGATCCCCGACCGACTCACTCCTTTACCTCGCTAAGCCAGAAATAATGCTGGTGAAGAGGAATGGTTGGGCATGAGGCTAGCAACCTCATCCTGTAAAATGAACACTGCTACAGAAACTTCAAGCCACTAGCTTGAAGCCCTATGTTCCACTGGGGAACGTGAAGGAAAAAAAAACTAATTTGATTTTCATCTTAGAGATGATAAGAAATACAGAAAGAAACAAAAACGTTACTAAGTAAATATTAGTGTACTCATCGTCTGATTGATGATGATTGATGCATTCATCAGACTAGGGTGTATGTGTCTGTGTGTGTGCGTTCGTGCGTGCTTACACGTGTTTGTGTATCGTGTGTCTGAAGGCCAAAAAAGTGTGAGAGAGAGAGATTGTAGCTATGAGATTATTTCTGTTTACTTTCCTTGTCTACTTTAAGCATGTGTGTGTGTGTGTTAGTTTGCGATAAGACTGTTTTAAAAATGCAATCCATCTCTTCATATTACAGTGATGAAATAAAGAAACCTTTGGATTTTTATTGAATTTAAATCTGTATTTTACGCTTCGTTTTTATATCTGAGGATCAAAATGTTGTCATTTCGGTGGATGGTGAGTAGCAGCGGCTCAAGTGGCCTAGTGTGGATGATAATGCTTTCACATTTTTGAAACGATGGGTTAAGTGGCTGGGTTCGAGTCTCAGTGCGAGGTGGGAATACTATGATCACTCACTGGGGACTGCAGGTACATCCGGTAGCTGACGAGTCCCATATAGGACGAAATATGCGACCAATGGATTCCACACTGCCAGTCATTATCCACTAGATAACATTAAAACCGTTAGGTGGCTGGTTGGTAGGTGGGAATTTAATTCATGTCATGAGAAGAGATTACTGTTGTATAATGAAATTAATAATCTGCATCTTGTAGGATTCGTGAGATTATCTTCCTTCATTCTGTTCAATGGATCGTTGCTTCCTTCCATATGTTATATAATCTTGATCACGGGCTGATATCAGTTCGAGAACTACTCAAAATCATGGAATATTGGACAATGGTTTCACCCGAGCCTGAAGACCTTCAGCGGTACGCACTCACTCGGGACCTTTTAAGTTACGAGGCATGCTCGTTGATCATTTATTCCCTGGGATGGAATCTAGTAGCTCATGAATTCTAACTTCTGTTTGTTCGCGATTTTCATCGCCACTCCCAACCAATGTTTTCAGCGAGTATTTGTTGTTGACCACGGATTGATATTGGTTAGAGAACATTTGAAAACTGGGGAGTGATAGTGGACAGTTGTTTCTTGTTAGCTTGGGACTTATTGGCAGAACTTACCCATCGGGGTTTAAACCCAGAGCCGGTTACGAGACCGGCTCTTATATCAATAAAGGCACTGCCACCCTACTTAATACCTCACGATCTCTAACTTTTGCCATATTGCCGATGAGTCGGAAACTAGGACGACTCAGGTGTCCAGTACTCCTTGGTTGTTTCCAACTATCCTCTAACTGATGTCGATCCGTGCTCAAACTTGAAACAAATCAAATCTATAAGCTAATTCTTGATAATTATTCAGTATGAATTTTATCACGAATTGATGATTGAGCCGTTTTCTTTTTACTTTGTTATTTGTTAATTGCTTTTAAAATGTGATTCATCAAGTTATCAATAGATTTAGTTGCGTTTTCATTACATAAAGCGCCTACTGTGTTCAATGCATCAATTGGTTTTATTTGCATAGGTTGACAATTGATTTTAAGTGTTTTAGAAAACATATATATGTAATAAATCGTAATTAAAACTGATATATATTTGTATGTAGGGTACATGATTTCAAGCTGTGCCTTACCATTCCTTCACAGTCTATGCTAATTCTTGCATTTTAATTTTTCCATCATTTTTGGTATTTTTTTAAAACATACTTATTGATCAGTAAAATACCAAACTAGTATGCATGGAGATATGGCTTACTAGCTTAGGCACTTGACTTTCAATCAGCGGGTCCCGGGTTCCACAATGGGAACATCATCACTCACTGCGGAATGCAGGTACATCCATATAGCTGACGACTCCCAAATAGGACGAAATGTACCTCCTGGATTACACTGCTAGTCACCATCCACCAATTAACTTCTAATTACATGCCCAGACATCATCGAAGCATCTGCACAAGCAGCCGAAATGTCAACCTGAGATCGAGCACTTCGGTCCAATCAGTCGACAGAAAAAAAATCTAAAATTGAATCAAATAAATTTCTATTATTGTTGGAAAAATATTTAAGTGGAATGCATTCACTTACTTTGCAACTCTTTTTGGATGAGAATTAGTTACTCCTCTGTGGTATTTCATGATAGCTGCGTATTTTATGAAAAAGAAGGATGATTGCACTTGAATCTAGTGGTGTATTACTAATAATATTCCTGTTTGTAGTGGACTAAATTATGAAATAAATCGTAGGGGGAGAGAATATAGGTGTACGTTGAATCGACAAAACGACTGCAGAAGATCTGAACTTGCTGGACGTCTGGTGTTACATAAACTTTAAAATCTACAGGCGAAAACCAACAAGTTATCAGAAAGAGCAAATGGAGAAGACAGTGGTGATGAAGATTCCTCGCCAACAATAACAAGTATCAGTCACCACCAACAGAAGAAATTCGACTGAAGTTACCTGTTTCATCAATTTTGGGTGCAAGTGGTACAGATAAGTATGTCAAAGTCAACCAGGACCCGAAAAGCAAGACAAATCTTCATTCTTGTGAAATCAATGTGGAAATCTACTGCGATCAGCAATAACGAACACGACTCGGATCTTCAACACTGATGTCAAGTCATTCAGTCCTTCTGTATAGTTCAGGGACTTGACGTGAGTCAGAAAAGTTATTTCCAACAGGCTCTTGCAAATTTTCTTCAACAGCTGCTTTCGCTGGCTCTATACTAAAGATCAGATGACCTACCACAAAGGGTAAACAACAAAGAACTAGAGCAACAATTGAGCCGTCAACTTACAGCCCAACAAATATTCAAGGGATAATGGAGATGGATTGGATATACGCTGAGGAGACTGTTCAATGACATCTCTCGCCATGCAGGTCGTCGACTGTAAATCGAACGGGAAATGACGAGTTGCGCTATGGCAACGAGAGTAACATCGAACAGATCGTGCGGGGAGGAAATGAAGGTTTGTTGGCAATGGTGGTACCAGCTAGGGAGGACTGCAGAGAAGATGATGAAATGGAGATGTGTTGTTGTAGCCCAGTGTTTTTTTGCTTAGAACCCAAGAGAATGATAATAATAATATAATGTTAATGAATTCATATCGAACGTTGTTTATCCTGAGTCTGTCATCTTTTTTTTTCCTTCACGTTTCCCAGTGGAACATAGGGCTTCAAGTTAGTGGCTTTAAGTTTCTGTAGCAGTGCTTATTTTACAGGATGGGGTTGCTAGCCTCATGCCCAACCTTTCCTCTTCACCAGCATTATTTCTGGCTTAGCGAGGTAAAGGAGTTCGTCGGCCGGGGATCGAACCACGGACCATGTGCATGGTCGGCGAGCGTCCTAACCGCTATGCCACCGACGTCTATCATCTCACTAGAACGAAAATTTCCACAGTCACAGAAAGATATCTGTGAATTGTGCCTTGATTTTGTTTTAGCCGTTTCTTTGGTTTTTATTTTTTAGTAGCCAACTCTGAGATCGTGCGTCACAATGTTGTTATTGTTGTTTTTTGTGTGTTGTTATTGCCTGCCTCACTGTGCTGTTTGTATTGGTCAACTTTTAGTCATTTTGTCGCCTACTATAATATACTAAACCAAAAACAGACATTTTTATCAAACAGAATGATATTGTGAATTATTTTCATTGTTTTTATTATTATGTTTTTGCGAGTTGATCACGGACTGATATCAGTTAGCGAACCATTGAAAACCAGCAGGGAGCACTGGACAGCTGTCTCATCCAAGTTTTGGGAATCATCGGCAGTACGAATCCACTGGGATTCGAACCCAGGACCTTCCGGTTACAAGGCAAGCTGGCTCGCATACCATTCAGCCACTGGGACCCGATTCAATGGCCAGCCCATGAATTCTAACTTCTACCAATTCATGATTTAGCGCGACCCCAACCATTGTCGTTGGTGGGACATCCATCCTCACACGTGACATCTAATTGGACCTCAATGGTCACGACTTCTCACTAGAACTCCAGGAAACTCCATCCTTTAGCAAGTCACTAGCACTTCTCATTAGTTCTAGTGAGAAGTCGTGACCAGTGAGGTCCAATTAGATGTCACGTGTGTAGATGGATGTCCCACCAACGACAATGGTTGGGGTCGCGCTAAATCACGAGTTGGTAGAAGTTAGAATTCATGAGCCATTGAGTCGGGTCCCAGTGGCTGAATGGTATGCGAGCCAGCTTGCCTTGTAACCGGAAGGTCCTGGGTTCGAATCCCAGTGGATTCGTACTGCCGATGATTCCCAAAACTAGGATGAGACAGCTGTCCAGTACTCCCTGGCTTTCAATGGTTCTCTAACTGATATCGATCTGTGATCAACTCGTAAAACATAACTAATCCTTACAAACCAATCTATAGAATATTATTATTATTGTTATCATTATTATTATTATTTCATTTCAGCCGGAAGATAAAGAATCCGCTAAAATCTATTGGAATCAATTATGTCGTGATGCTGAACAGTTAGAGCTGAATATCAAAGAAGAATGGTTAACTGGTGGATTGGCACGCCTACTTGCTGTTATCTATCATTTAGGTTGTGCTGGTTATTGTTGTCATCAAGATGTAAATAGACCACCTGACAGCGTATTTATTTATTTTACAAATTATGAAGCTGCTCAACGTGCTGCCCACCTATTGAATTGTTCACTGGAGACATTGAATGAGCTTGTCTTTGAACCATTTTTACGCAAACTTGTACGTAATGGTGGTGGTGGTGTCCATCATGATGATGGTGATCAGTATTCAGGGAATTGGACTATTAAAGATTGCTTGTATGGATTTGTTCAAGAACTTTATCATTTAGTTGTAGATATATTAGTCTGTCTAATCAATCGGTATGTTCCCTTGGTAACTATATCTCTTTTTTTGTTGTTGTTGATTTTTTGATTATAGCTTGATTCCACACTGTAGTTTTGATACAAGTATGGAATTTTCAGCATGTGATATCGGTAGCCAAAATTTAGCAGGCTGACCATTGATACCGGGTGTGCGTTGGCAGGGATCGAACCGAGGACCATGTGTATGGTCGGCGAGAGTCCATCGACGCACAAATAATAGTTTGGTGCTGTTGTTTTTTTCCTCTTTTGATAACCCACCCTCTATCTCAACCTTAATATGCAATGTGAGTAGGTGACAGTCGACCGGACCGACTAAATGAGGCGGTTCAGTGTTGAAATTCGCATAAAAGTGCAGCAGTATACGTTGCAACATTTCGAAAAAGTACACATACAGTTAGTTAAAAGAAGTATAAGAAAATTACAATAGACGAAAATGAAGAGGAGAAATAACACTTACATGAAGATTAGTCAGGATCTGAAAGATGACAGAAAAATGAATACATCTGTGCTATTATGAACGCGTTCGAGTCAAGTTATTAGCATCCGTCACTCAGCATCAAGTCAGTTCTTCTATACGGATCAGAAACTTGGCGGGTCTCTAAGAATATTTCCAACAGCCTGTTGCAGACCTTTATCAACAACTGTCTTCGCTCTATACTCAAGATCAGATGGCCGGAAAGAATCACCAACAAGAAACTATGGGAAGAAACAAAACAAGAACCAATCGCTCAACAAATATGCAGGAGAAAGTGGATATGGATTGGACACTCGCTGAGGAGGAGGCCGTTGGGTGACATCGCGCGTCAGGCCATCGCTCGAGTGGAACCCGAAAGTGAAGAGGTGAGTGGGACGTCCAAGGGTGACATGGAGGAGATCGTGTGAAGAGGAGCTGAAACAGTATGGACTAACATGTATGCAGGTGAAAAGTACAGCAGAAGACAGAAGCAAGTGGAGACGTGTAGTTGAAGCCCTATGTTCCACTAGGAGCCCAAAGGAACAGTAATAATAATAATAACTGTTTTTTCTTAGTATCCTCAGTACATGTTAAATCAACAGTCAAAGACTGCATGAATTGATGCTGTGTTCTTTTTTGTGTGTGACCACTCCTAACTCTTTTGTAGCTTATCTGTGTGTGTGTGTGTTTAGTTAACAATTGTTGTCGATGAATTCGGTGTCTTGGCATATATATAACACATATCCTTGTCATCTCAATATAATATCGCAAACCCATTGACTAATCCTCCACCTTTACCTAACACTCCTCACTTAGCCCCATTTCTACTGACCATATTAGATCACCGAACAAGAGAGGCTTTTATGAAGGGTATTTGCAGTCAAAAACTGTTTTTTTATCCCTTAACGTTCCAAGTGGAACATAGGGCTTCAAGCTGGAGGGAGTGGTGATTATTTTTACAGAATTGGGTTGCTAGCCTCATGTCCAGCCCCAGCTTCCCTCTTTACCAGTCTTACTACTAGCCTATCGAGGTAAAGGAGTGCCTCGTCGATCGGGGATCGAACGTCGGATCACCTGTGCCACCGACGCCAAAAAGCTGTTAATAGAAGTCAATTGGTGGTTGGTAACTAGCAGTGAAATCCAGGATGCGCATTTCGTCCTATTTGGGGCTCGTCATCTGGATGTATCTGCACTTCCGTCCAATCAATCGACGGGAAAATCTAAAAATCAGTTAAACAAAAAAAAACTGTTAGTCTTTTCATATCTACACCTTTCTTCAGCGTTCTACGGATTACCGGATATGGCACACTTGTGCTAAAGGTGATGCAGTTTGCCTTATGCTCAATGGGCTTTTTGTATGAGGGCTAATGCAACTTCTCAAACATTTTGCTCACTATCCTTAAACTAGAAATCTCTACAGATTAGTCGTGTGGCATCATTGCAAGTACAACTGTTTGCTTATGTTTCGTGCTTGTTAATAATCATGCTCAAGGTGTGTGTGCCTGTATTACTGAAGCAGTCGATTTCTTATATTCTAGATTCGAATTTAAGTGACTCAAAGTCGGCTACACTATTTAGGTCATAACTGCATCTTCCCTTGTAGAGCTGGATTGCATGTGCACGTTGGCAGAGGCCTATCAATCTAGCTATTTTTTTCTCGAATACATTAATCCAAAAACTGTGAATTCAAATCACTAACTGTGTACACTTAGATTTTATAATGATTTTCTATATTACTGAAAGAGAGAACCAATCAGGAGAGACGATTTTCATACTCATGGAGAATTCTAAAAGCTCACTTCATATTGACTTTAGCACTGAAGATGTTGTCTAGATAGGCAGTTGAACCATTCAGTTCGAAGAATACTGTTGCACTGAAATCATACATTTGAGCTTTAGATGTTCTTTAACATTTTCATCTTATCTGTAAAATAGCATTTTACCTTTATAGGAGTATGCTGGTGCAGTTTTAACTTCGGTTTTCCTCCTTCTTTGAAGCCTTTAATATTCTATGTTAGATTGAGTTAGTCATTACTATAATATTATTCTCTTGGGCTCCCAGTGGAACATAAGGCTTCAGCAGCACGTTGTCATTTCATTATCTTCTCTGAAGTCATTTTTGTTTGACTCCATGACTGTCCATATGCTTTCATTTCCTCCCCACACGACATCCTTCAAGTCGCCCTCGGCTCAATGCCGAATTCCTCGTCCTCCATCCGGGTTCCACTGGAGGGCTTACCAGGTGTGTGTGTGTGATTTCACTCAACGGTCTTCTCAGCATGTTTCCAATCCATCACTATTTCCTCTCGCATATTTGTTAGCTGGCAGGTTGTTGGTTTTTTCATTGCCTTAGTTTCTTGTTGTTTATCCTTTGTTGCAGTTAACTTAATCTTCAGTGTTGATGGGAGTCAGTTATTGTTGGAAGTTCGCAATAGCCTGTTTGGAATATTGATGCGTACTCTAAGTGTCTGAACCATATAGAAGCAGCAACTTGGCATTAGAGTTAGGGACCTGGATCTCTTTCCTTGTACTGTGTGTGTGCGTGTGTGGTAGATTTCTACATTGTCTTCAAAAGCTGTTCTTCTAACTTATTGGTCTTTGCCTGTAGATCTTTGAGGCTGTGCGACATTAGACATAAATCATCCACTAATTATTTAATTGAATTTAGATTTTCCTGTTGGTTGATTCTACTGAAGTGCTCGATCTCAGGTTGACATGTCGGCTCCTTGTATAGATGCTTCGATGATCTGTGGTCATGTAACTTGAAGTCAATTGGCAGATGATGACTAGCAGTGGAATCCACCAGGGTGCTCATTTCTCTCCTATTTGAGACTCGTCGGCCACTGGATGTACTTGCATTCCCCAGTAAGAGTGATAGTGTTCCCACCGAGGCCCATAGTTTCAAACAACAAATCGTCACTCGCTTTAGACCATTTGGGCCACGAGAGCCGCCTCTTGTTCAACCGGGTCTTATTTATTATTTCATTCAATTTCGATTTTCCCCATCGATTGATTGGACTGAAGTGCTCGATCTCAGGTTGGAATGTTGGTTCGTAATGTGGGTAGTGACTAGCTCTCTGTCTGTCTGTCTGGATTCAACATAGAACTTGACGCCAAAGTGCAGCAGTTCGAGTTGCCACGTTCCGGATAGCACACAAAGGTAGACAAGAAAATGAGATAAGAGAATCAATAGAGTTTTGACAAGTATAAGAGTGAAACAGAATGAGTAATGGTAGAAAGGAGTATGAAGGTTAAAGAGACTGAATACATCTGCGTAAGCCATTGACAACGATTTTGAGCCATGTCACCTATTGTCTCCAGCCATAAATTCTTAGAGTCCCGAGGGCCAGCCCCAACCCGGAAGTCTGCAGCTCCCTCCCTACCTGACTCAGTTTAACTGTCAGGGATTTCATGGATTTATGCCATGTTTTTGTTTGGCCACCACTTACTCTTTTCCAACCTGCACCTATATCAGCTTGTAATGCCCGTCGGGAGGGGGAGGCGATAGTTAGGCATGCGCAGCACGTTTCCAAATTACTTCATGGTTGGCTGTGTCGACGGCGTTTTCAAAATCGATGATATGAAGGTAGATAGTTGGGTAGATAATTGTCATTCAATGCTTTGTTCGGTGATGATGATGATGGCGATAGTGCTGTGTGACATCGCAATTCTACTGTCACATGATTTCTACATCCTAAATCCAGCTTATTTTGGGCGGAGTTTTGCATTCAAAGATGAAGTGTTAATTCAGATTGGGTTGAGTTAGTATGAACTTCTAAATTAAACAAAAAAGAAAAAAACTAATCTGTCTATTTATTGTATTATTATCAGTTATTAGCCATTACTCACACCATTATTTCATTTATTTCATTTTGCTATATTCATTCATTATTTGGGCGGTATCAATCAGGTTATTAATATAAAAATTGTGAATAACTATTCGATTTGTTTTATTATGATAAAATAAAAAAGGAATCAGCCTAGCTTACCGAGTATGCAAAAAGTTTTCATGCATTGCAAAGTTCATCTTTTCATTTGCATACATCAGTTTCTTTTGTTGTATTTTTCATAAGCGTTTAACACAGGTTATACAGGTGATACGGTGTTATAGAACAAAGAGGTCATTGTTTAGAGATGAAACAATCTTTTCTGTCTTTTCTTTTCTTTCTCTTTTGTCGTTATCTAAAATGAAATCTCTTGTAGCTATTGATTTGTTGAATATTTGCTTTTGTCTTGTTTTCTTTTTCTTTCTTTTTTTAATGTATGATTGTTTATTTTCTTGACTAGTGAATTGGATTCATGCCAATTAAACGTGTATTGTATTCATATTTTATCATTATCATTATCATCATCCGTCAATTAAGACAGTTTTCAAATTGTTGATTGTTAAAATCAAACGAAAGTTTGATGTCACACAAAATCAAAGACTTACTTATAAGCGAAAACCAACAAAAGGGCCGAAGAAGCAGCAAAGACAGGACTCCAGGTGAATATAGACAAGATGAAGGTTATGAAAATAACGAACCAACCAACAACGACAACAACAGCAGCAGCAGAAACATCCAGTGCCAATCACCATCAACGGGAGGGATTTGGAAGAGGTTACTTCATTCACTTATCTAGGTAGGGAGCATTGTCTCAACTACAGGAGGAACGGACGAGGAGGATGTCAAATCGAGAATCGGGAAGGCGAGAAACACATTCATCAAGCCGAAACCAATCTGGAAATCTTCGTCACTCAGCAGCATCAACAACAAAATTTGGATTTTCAATACAAACTTCAATTCAGTCAGTTCTTCTATACGAATCAGAAACTTGGCGGGTCACTAAGAATATTTCCAACAGCCTGTTGCAGACCGTTATCAACAACTGTCTTCGTTCTATACTGAACATCAGATGGGCGGAAAGAACAAGAACCACCAAGAAACTATGGGAAGAAACAAAACAAGAACTAATCGCTCAACAAATATGCAGGAGAAAGTGGAGATGGATTGGACACTCGCTGAGGAGGAGGCCACTGAGTGACACCGCGCGTCAGGCCGGTGCTCGAGTGGAACCCGAAATGGAAGCGGCGAGTGGGACGTGCAAGAGTGACATGGAGGAGATCGTGTGAAGAGGAGTTGAAACAGTATGGACTAATATGGATGCAGGTGAAAAGTACAGCAGAAGACAGAAGCAAGTGGAGACGTGTATTTGAAGCCCTATGTTCCACTAGGAACCCAAGGGAACAATAATACAATAATAATAATACACCTTGCTATTGAGTGATTGGACCGAAGTACTGGGCCTCTGTTAACATGTCAGCTTCTTGTGCAGGTGCCTCAACTATGCCTGAGGATTTAACTTGAAGTAATTTGCTGGATGGTATTTGAAACTATGAGTACTGGGTTCGAGCCTTAGTTGGGTATGCAGGTACATCCTGTGACGAGTCCCCTTGAAATGGATGAAACGCACCTCCTGGATTTCACTGCTAGTTACTATCCACCAAGTGAATTCTGTTTCCTTCTGGTTTGAACCGCGACCATCTTACTCTACAAACACACATTCTCTTATATGAGGTATTGATTATGTGACTGGTAGATTAAAAGTGAGCGCTGATCATACTTTTAGGTTGTCTGTGCTGAAGTGTAGGTGGAGCGGGATTCGGACCTAGATGGTATTGGCTGAAAGTCGAGTGTTTGTTTCCCAAGGATTTGATTAGTGAGAAGTGGTGACTAGTGTGGGGTCCCACCGGGTCGGGTATGGTGGCAGCTGTTCACCGATGACACTGCTTGGTGGTGGCGGCATATATTGTTAATTGATAGAAATTAGAGTTTATGATACATTGGAGTACCTTTCAGTGGCTGAGTGGTCAACGGGTTCGCTACTTAACTTCTACGTCCTGGGTCCAATCCAAGGTGAGGTCATGGGCGCATACTGATGAAGAGTCTCATAGTAGGACGAAACAGCTATCTAATCCTCCATGGTTTCAAATGGTGTTAGTTCGTGATGTAATTTGAAAGTCGAGCGCTTGAAGCAATGAGCTAAATCTTAATTGACAGTTTGGAAGACGAATAAATTATCTCTGAAGTCCAATATTTTCTTCCTTTGGTTCATCTGTGACTTAGTTCTATAATTTATAAATTTGTTAGCTGGTTAGAGGGAAGAAGGCAGGAATTCTTCGAAGTTGATTTCATACTTGCTGGCACTGGTCATTAAGATGGATCTTAAATCTCGAGGGAACTCATGTCCCTGCTGAGATTCGATCCCAGGTCACGCAGTTCAACAATTAGAGATGTTACCGCCGAGTTAATTAGGCTGGTGATTCATCTCCTGTAGGACTGTAATCGGTACTTTGATTTGACACTAGTTAGTAACCAATATCTTTAGTTTAGTCCTTCGTTAATAAATTTAGTGGCTATTTTCTTGTATTCTCCCTCGTTGACTTAGAATATGCAAATGATATAGTCCTTCTAGGTTAAGATGCTGACAAAATTCCGAGTCCTCTGAACACCTTGAGTTGCGATCTGCGAATGTTTGGCATGTGATTCGCTCCCACCAGATGTAAGATGATGCTACAGAACTGGACTGAACTACATTGACTCCTAGCTTAGAAATAGGAAGTGAAGTGGTAGAGCGCGTTGACCGCTTCACTTATTTGGGAAGTTACATCGGCCAGCCCCAACGGGTTGATCGCTGACGAAATCTCAGCATGGATACATAGGACTAGTTTCGAATATGCTAGTTTACACTGTCTCTGGCGTAGACGTGATATCCGACTGGCTATCGACCAAAGGGCGCTCCGTCCTCCTTTATCCCTGTGAATTAAACATGACCATTGAAAGTGGAAGAGATGAAAAACATGGCTAGCTGTCTTTGATTATAGGTGCCTGCGTTCTATCTTCAGTGTTAAGTGGTATAATAGGGTGAGTGATATTGAGGTTAGGCGTCGAGTGTTAGGTAAGGAAGGGAAATCAATCGACGAGGCTGTGAAGCTTCATCGACTGAGATGGTCAGGGCATATGTTACGCATCCTTAGCTATCGTCTTCATCGACGGGTAGTGTTAGCTGACACTGGTTCAGGTGGGAAATGAGTCAGTGGAGGTCAGTCGATGAAATCCACAACAGTTAGTTTAAGCCACATAGGAAGGTGCAGACTCCCTGATTGGGATCCCCCGGACGGTAAAAACCAATGGCTGGAGACAACTGGTGATATGGTTCAAAATCGTCGTTGTCAATGGCTGGCGCAGATACATCCACTCCTTGTAACGTATAATACCCAATGAAACTATATTTTTCTTCGATTTTATTATTCTTTCTACTGATATCTCTGTTTTTTGTTTCTATTTTGCATTTCTTTTTATCTTCTCTTGCTTTGTGTGCTACATGGAGTGTGGCGACTCGAACTGCTGCAAAGTCCTATGTGGAAGCCAGCCAGCTAGCCAGCCATGTATTCTCCCTCATTCAATATTATTCTTATCATTCTCGGTATTTATTTTAAATCGATACTTGTTTGTTTTAAGAGTTTTATGCCATAATCTTACGAAAATATTAAAGTGTAAATAAGTCCTACCAGCTGAAATGGAATGAATATGAAGTTCAGATTTATGATTTTGTTAATTGATATTAGCGTTTTTTTTATAAATTTCTCATTACTTTTATGTCCTACAGATTTTTTATGAAATTAATTTCCTTTCTTCTTTTTCTCTTTCTTGACATCCAGGTGTTTGTCTACACCAAAATCAGATATACCTAACAAACTAAAAGTTGCAGCTCAATTAATTCTAGTCGATCCCGTTGGCTTACAAATTCCACATTCAACATCAATGCCACCATCATCATCCTCAGGATCACCTGGAATAGAGAATAGCGAAAACCAGAAGTCAGGCAATTTTCCTGATTTAATATTCAATTATGCTTATGAACGATTGAGTCAATTATACTTTGATAGTACAATAATGCTGGATGAACAACGTTTAAAACATGTATGCAAAATAATTTTAATTCTTCTTTATTCATGTGCTGTCATTTCCTATTGATTCATCGTTTAACCGAATGGATCTGCCTCATTTCGGTCCATGGATGCTGTTTTGTTCTTCTTGTATTCTGAGTGGAACATAGGACTTCACATACTTCTACATTTCAGTAGCAAATGTGTTATTTTTACGGGCTGGGGTTGTTAGTTTCTTGCATAACCTCACCTCATCTCTTTTCCTTGCTCACAACTGGCTAAGTGTCATTTAGGAGTATATTAGTCGTGTACGGTTGGTGAAGCTCCTACCACCGAAACCACTTACTCACGTGCTGCAACACCGTTTGGATTATTAACTTGAAGTTGCTTGCTTTGTCTTGGGGGCTCGCGGGCGAGGGGGTGAACAGTTGGATTCAAGACGCACACATTTCCTTCTGTCTGCGAATTCTCTACTCCACAATGAGTGATGGTATTCCCATTGGGACTTTCACTCGGTTTTCATCAGTTCAAACGCCAAAGGGTTACTCGCTAGTCCATTTGGAGGTCACAAAAGCCACTTCTTGTTCAGAGAGTGTGACGTGAAATTTATTATTGTAATAATTAGACTTGAGTCAGAAAACCACTGAAAAACTAGGAGGTGGCAGAAAGTAATTTTCTCCTCTTCGTTGAGCACTCTTTACCGATGTGCATCGTCAACTTTATGAGGCATAGATGGCAGCAATGACTGTCTGAAATAGCTTTAGTTGATAACTTCACTTGTTTTGGTTTCTTTATTATGGATAAGATTTTATTTTGATAAATCACACAGTGTTACACAGTAATACTAACTGATGACGTTCCGAGCACAAACTATTGCTCATAATCATATCAAGTTACTCACACAACTTTTTCCTTCAATTATATATATATATATATATATATATATATATGGAATTGCAAAAATATTCATTCAGACATCTATAAAACACAATATAATTGAGCAAAGAATATTTTAAATTAGTAGTTAATAACAATATTAGCGTTTTTTAAAGTAATATCGATTTGTAAAGTATGGTCAATGCTATTGCAGTTCATTGAAGATGCTTAAATTATAATAATAATAATAAAGATTTAACAGCGAATAGAATATCAACTAAAATTGGGGGAATTTCACAATAATTCGGGATTATTCAAACCTGGATGGCCAAGGTAATGAGAATGACTGAACTAACTACTTTTGGGTGCATAAATTAGGCTTATTAATATGAATCCCCACAGCCTCAGCAATATTTAGAAGTCGAACTCTTAAAGCGAAATTGAGATTCGTATGTATGCGGTAAATGACCCTGAAAGCATGATTAACGTCAATCTTGTGCTCTGTCTCCACAAGATGCGCCAGAATAGCGCTGCGAATAGATTTTGTTTGACCTTTGCTTAACCAGGCAGGGTGATGTTCGGAAATTCGACGAGAAACACGCCTAAAAGAATATTCTTTGCTCGATTATTTTGTGTTTTATATGTGGAATTGACTAGATATTTGAATAAAAATCAATATGAGATAATGTACATGTGTATTACTGTGTAACACTGTGTGATTTATCAAAATAAAATCTTATCCATAATGGAGTTACACTCTACCACAGTGCCCAAGTTTTATACTTATATCAATGTTTTGGTTTCTAAATATCATGATTGAAGTGTGAATGTTTGAAGTCACTTGTTCTCAAAATTAGGTATTCCTTATGGAGACTTGAAATCATTGTAACGACCAATACTCAAGTATTTCAATCTGAACACTGGAACACACATCTGAACACTCCTTTCTGTAAAGGCTGTCCAACTTTCACGGTTGACATGTGATCAAAAATTATTATTCCAATAATATCAAAAAGGTACTTTACTTGATGGGATCTGTGATGCTATTCAACATTAATAACTCATACCAGAAGTTAAAATAACCACCCCAACAATGCTAGCTGGTAGCTACACAGTTCAAAAGTTTCTTAGGTACAAAATAAGTACTGTACATCAAAGTTAATTGATGCAGTATACAACTATGAATTACCCGAGAATCAAAATGGATTTTTCCAGAGTTGGGATCAAAACCAAACCAACAAACATTTCAGGGGCGAAGCAGTCGCTCCATGGATGAACGTTTACCTCACTGAAACGAAATATCAGTCAGAGAAATAACACATCATTAACACTGTCCTCCATTAATCTAGAAAGCATTGTTTCAACTACAGGCGGAATGGATGAAGATGTCAAATTCAGAATCGGAAAGGCGACATACGCCCTCATCAACCTGAAACCAGTTTGAAAGTCACTCACTCAGTCAGCATGAACAACAAGATTCAGATATTCAACACAAATGTGAAGTAGTCGGTCCTTCTATATGGGTCAGAAACTTGGCCAGTGTGTCACAAAAAGGATTTCCAACAGATTTCAGAATTTTATCAACAGCTGACACCTTCGCTGGCTCCATACTGAAGATCAAATGGCCAGCTGGCCGGCCGGAAAGAATTAGCAATAAGAAATTTTGAACGGAAACATACCAACCAAGAGCCTATTGTTAAAAAAACATGTCGGAGAAAATGGAGATGGATCGGAGATGCGCCACTGAGGAGTCCATCGAATGACATTGCGCGCAATGCAGGCCATTGCTCGAGTGCAGTCCAAATGAGAGGCGATTAGTGGGTCATCGGTGTGAGGGTGACATGGAGGAGATCGTGCGAGCAGGGGAAGGAGAAGATGAGGGATTATGGGCAATCTTAGACCCAGTTGAAGAGGATGGCAGAAAACAGAAGAAAGCGAAGATGTATTGTTGAAGCCCTATGTTTCACTCGGAACCCAAGTGAACAATAATAATAATATAAACCAACACTATCATATAATAGCAAACAGAAGCATTAAATTTAAGGATCAACCAAAAATAAAGACAAATAAAAATCGATTAAGTTAAAGTTAGGCATGCAAATGTTTGAACAATAATATAAATAGTTCAAAGAGAAAGAGGGTTTTGATCACGAGTTGACATCAGTTAGAGAACTATCAGAAAACCACCAGGGAGTACTGCACAGCTGTTTCGTCTTAGTTTGGTGCTCTTCAGCAATATGTACACAGTGAGGTTTGATCGGATCCCAGAGGCTGAATAGTCCAACAACTCACCCTGTAACTGGAAGGTTCTGGGTTCGAATCGTGGCGGTGGATGCGTACCGATGAAGAGTCCGAAACTAGGACGAAACAGCTGTCCAGTACTCCTTGGTTGTTTTGCAGTGATTCTTTAACTGATATCAACTTGTGATCGAACCTGTAGCCAATCAGATTCCTGGTTGAAATATTGATATAGGTAGCAATCTCATAAACGGCTTGTTTATAGAGAGATTTTCAGATCGATAATTCTGCTTCACTCTTGTCAACACTCAACGTAATACTAAAATGGTAATAATCATAATATACTAGTGGCTTTATTCCAAACAGTACGTCTGATACAGTGTAGAATTCTCAGCATGTAGTACAAAATATTGCTTCTAATTGTCTCTTTACATTACATAGTCAGGGGGAAAATAATTAACAGCAACATTTGCATTAATGATAATGTCAATAAAAAGTAAAATTAAAAATTAATAGAAATGATATAACAACGATAATATTAACGATAAGAACAAGAAGAATGAAGAAAGCGCCTTTTATTTAATTATTTACTGTTTCTCAGTAAGTTACTAGTTTTATGCCTAACGCATATTCTCATCTCACATAAAATCGGTGCTGCATAAGGTATTTTCAAGTATTGGTTTTGTAGGGATTTTTTTTGATTGCATGGAGGATTTCATCATGAGTTGACATCAGTCAGAGAACCACTGGAAAACCTGGGAGTACTGGACGACTGTTTCGTCCTAGCTTGGGACTCTTCAGCAGTAGCACGAAACAACTGTCCAGTATTCCCTGCAGGTTTTCCAGTGGTTCTCTAACTGATGTCAGCTCATGATGAAATCCTCCATGCAATCAAATAAGGTATTGTTGAGGTTTTATATTTAGCCTTCCGAGGATAAGTCTTTTAAAGTTCCTGCTAATCCTACCTGATGCGATACAAGGGAAGAGTTGCATATATGATGAGGGTGTTCAGAGTCGTCCAACAAGATGATATTCGCCGATTTTTGGCATGATTTCAAGTGTCTGTCTACAACAGTATTAATGGGTTGACTTAGCGCCACACTACTCCACCTACCGACAGACTAAAATTAAAGTGAACACGAGAAGTTCAGCAGCACATCTCCATTTCATCCTGTTCTCTTCAGTCTTCTGCATGTCACTCTTGGACCGACTCCCAACTCATCTTTTCCTATTTGGGTTCCACTCGAAGGCCAAGATGGCACATGATTTCCGCAAAGGTCTCCTCAGAATATGTCGAATCCATCTCCATTTCCTCTAGCGCTATATTTTTTGGGCTGATTAGTTGTTGGTCGGTTCGTTATCCCAGAGTTTCTTGTGTTGCTTATCCTTTCCGACCAGCCAGTCCCATCTTCAGTGTGGAGCGAATACAGGTTGTGTAAGGACAAAAACCGACTCGTTGTGGTTTGAACGGAAGAAACCGACCTGACAAAACGCTCCACAGACAGCGAAAGGACGACTATTCGTGGTTAGATCCATCTGTATGCTTCTATTCAATAATAATAATTATAACAAAAACTTAGAATTACGTCAACAGTGCCGTTAGGCATCTATACAGATAACGTGACTTTTTGAGAACAAAAAACTACTTGGAAAAAGGTAGAGTATTTCTGAAAAGCTGGGATCAGAAACACTATCCGCAAGAATCCCACAGCATTCAATTCCCGAAGACAGTCTAAGGTCAGGATGACCTTCACTCACTCAAACAAAATTACATCGTAAAATACCATATCATCAGTGTATCGCACAACCGCAAAGAGAAGCAGCAGAATTAGAAATTAAAGAAGGACAACGACAAATCAAGTAGAATCAAGTCAACACATGATATCCAAATGTCAGAACAATTAAATACAGCATGGGCGAAAAGCGGATAATAATCACAAAGTTATTTGAAACATCCAAATAAGTATCAGTGTTGTGTTCAGATCCTTCAAGAGGAGGAGTTATTTTCCAAACAGCTATCCTGTTACACAGGTGATGATGAAAGTATACAGTGTCTTGCTGGAAATGCTTTCGGTGTCGCGTTCGCCAAGTCTCTGAAGCATATAGAAGCTTTGACTGACATGACATGTTCGTCTGTCTGTCTGTTTTCGACATAGAACTTTGCACATATGTGCGGCAGTTCAAGTCGCCACACTCCACGTAGCACACAAAGCAAGACAAGAAAGTAGAAGAAATGCAAAATAGAGACAGTAAGTTGAGGTGTGAGACAAAGGTATAGTAATAACGAAGAACAAAACAGTTTCATTGGAAATCATGAGTTACAAGGAGTGCCATTGAGAACGATTTTGTGCCATGTCACCAATTGTTTCCAACCATTGGTTTTTACCGTCCCGAGGACCCCAACCAGGATGTCTACACCTTCCTAAGTGGCTTAGACTAACTGTTGTAGATTTCATTGACTGGTGCCATGTTTTCGTTTGACCGCCGCTAGCTCTTTTCCAGCCTGACCCTATATCAGCTAACTGACATGACATTAATGCTGAAAATACGGATTTTTTTCTATATACTGAGTGCGGTAGATTTCAGTAGACCTATCTCGGTTTTCCTATCCTCTGTGCCGACTTCCTGCATCTTTAGACGATACTGTCTAGATGAATGAAAGAGGTGAGTCAGAGAAACGATAACAGTAGAAAATCGAACACACAGTTAGTTATGTAGTAGACTGACAGATGTTGTATTCACCTTATCTTTCTCTTTTTTCAATTTTACTCGTTATTCTCACTCCTTTTTTGTGTGTGTATTTAATTTCTCTCTAGGATGGTTTAACTTCACCTGTACCATATGAGAATTTCTGTCGTACAAAGAATATTTTAAACTTCATCGACAATACATCATTTATTAAGGTAACACACATTTTTTTGCGTTTTAATTCTGTCAGTGCATTTCGTGTTTATTATATAATTTTCGTTGTCTATCGTAGACAAAGTTACATGTTTAAAGGATTATTATTTATTATTAGCAGTATTGTGTAATCTTTGCGGTGTAATTTATCTCCTTCCTTATTTGTCTAAAGTTACAACTCACCTACGACAGTGTTTTTTTCTAAATGTTTCTTTTTTAGTTTTTATGCAAAAGAAAATCGTATAGTTTGCAGAATGTTAAGTCTCGTTTTGAAAATTAATTTCATTATTGTACTCAAACAGGTTAACTGCCTGAATAGGGCCTGTCACTAGTGAGCATCAGATTAATTTTCAAGTATTGGTTTTGTAGGGATTTTGTTTGATTGTATGGAGGATTTCATCATGAGCTGACATCAGTTACAAAATCACTGGAAAACCTGCGAAATGGTCGCACTATGTCATAAATTGCCAGAAGTAAGAATTCATGGGCTACTGGATCGATTCCCAGTGGATCAATAGTCTACGAGCTCGCCTTGTAACCAGAAGATTCTGGGTTCGAACCCTGGCGGTGGGTGCGTACTGATGAAGAGTCTCAAACTAGTTTGACGAAACAAATGTCCAGTGCTCCCAGGTTTTCCAATGGTTCTCTAACTGATGTCAGCTCATGATGAAATCCTCCATGCAATCAAAATAAGATTAGTAACGAAAATGATAAAATTGATACAAAATTCAAAGCCTCTGTAGTACTGACATATAAAGAAGGGACGTCAAAAGCCTTACGTAGGAATCTCAATGAGCCTGGAATTAGGGTGGCATTAAAACCAACCAACTCTCTCAGATAAAGTCTCACAGTGTTATTCAGTAATATTTACTGATGACGTTTCGAGCACAATTTATTGCTTCACATAATCAAATCAAGGTACTCACACAACTTTTTAACTTCGTTTATATAATTCCACCAATATCCCCCATCGTAGCAGACATATTTAAGGACAGCTGAGAAAATATTGCTCTTAATACATTTAATCCTACTGCAAAAATATGGTGGAGATATGTGGATGCCACTTTCACAGTGTTAAGAACAGAACATACCTCTAGCTTCTTGACACACATAAACTCACTAGTAAAGGGAATAAAGTTCACATTTGAATCGAAAAATGAACAAGGAGAATTAACTATATTAGATTGTAAAACAAAACAAATAGAAGATAAACTGCAAATTAGCGTTTATAAAAGCTAACGCATTCTGTTAATAGATATTTAGACTTAAATTCATCTCACCCCTTAACTGTTTAGGCAGGCTTAGTTAAGTGCTTAACAAACCGAGCAGTTGCACTAAGTAGTACAAGAAAAGACCTAAATGACGAAATAAAACAGATAGAAGAAGTGTTGGTATCAAATAACTATCCTATAAAATTCATTGGGGAGATCAGGAAAGGTCAAAAGCAAAATAAAAATAATTGTGAAACTACTAATGATAACACAAATAAGCGAGAATATAAGTCATTCACTGTTATACCATATAAGGAGGGGACATCTGAGACCCTACGTAGGATTCTGAATAAAGCAGGAATTAGAGTGGTATTTAAACCTACAAACTCACTCAGGGACAATCTGTGTAGGTTAAAGGACCTTGTGGGTTGATCCAATTAGACAAAATAATATAATTTATAAAATACCTTGCAATGACTGTGAGCGAGGTCAACTACATAGGTCAAACTAGTAGGTCAGGGATAGTCAGACTGTCGCAACATAAGAATTTAACTAAGGTAAGACTGGTTGACCCCGAGAAGATAAGTAATGTAGAAAAAGCTCAGCAATTGCCTGCATGCATTAACATACACAATGACACAATGGGGTGGGAGAGGGTTAAAATTCTAAAAAGTAATCTAGGTAGGTGGAGAGAGCGATTGATTAGTGAATATTTGTTCATCGAGTCTCTACACCCAATACATGCAATAGGAGTGACTCATCACTCAGACTGGAAATATGGAGAATACTACTAACAAACAAATCAGGCGATGAAAAATGATGGAATTAAATAAACGAAGTTAGAAAGTTGTGTGAGTAGTGTCTTGATATGATTATGAGCAGCAATAAATTGTACTCGAAACGTAGTCATCAGTAAATATCACTGTAAAACACTAGAAGACTTAATCAAAATAAATTTTACTGATTATGGAATTATACTCTACCACAGTGCACTAGTTTTATTCTTATATCAACTCTCTCAGAGATAAACTTTGTTGGTTGAAGGACCCAATAGATCCTATTTAAAAAAATAATATAATTTACCAAATAGCATGTAATGACTGTGAGTGAGGTCAATTACACAGGTCAAACTAGTAGATCGGGGTCAATTAGATTATTGCAACATAAAAATTTAGCTAGACGTAAAATAATTGACTCTGATAAGTTAAGTAACCTAGAAAAAAGCTCGGCCATTGCATTGCATTCATTTGCATGTAATCACACAATGATAGGGTGGGACAGGGTGAGAGTGTTACAGAGTTATATAGTTAGGTGGAGAGATAGAGAGCTTTTGTTTATTGATTCAACACCGCATATGTGCAATCGAAATGACACAACACCTATACCGAAGATATGGGAAGTGGGATAGAGAGAAAAATATATGCAAGATGAACTATGAAGCCGTGTGATGACTAAACTGATGTGATAATAGACAATAATGTGTGCTCGTAGCGGCATCCACCTATTAATACTGCATCTTTGTATGATATTTGAAATAAACCTATCTAGTATGGAATTGTAATCTACCCTAGTGTGCTCAAGTTCTACACTTACACTAGTTTAAAGACTTTAAAGTGGCTCAATGGTCTACGAGCTCGCCTTGTAACCAGAAGGTCTTGGGTTCGAACCCCGGTGGGTGTGTACTGCCGAAGAGTCCCAAACTAAGACGAAACAGCTGTCCAGTACTCCCAGGTTTTCTAACGGTTCTCTAACCAATGTCAGCTCATGATGAAATCCTGTAATCAATTTAAAGACTGTTTTTCTAATGGCTTCCTCTCCTTTCAAATTTCATCATGCAAAGGTATGTGCTTAGAGTTGCAGTTTAACCGTATGCGTAAACTACTGATGAGCTTGAACGCAAACGAGCGAAACGACCGGCTGGTGTTTTTTAATCACCTCGATCTGGCTTGCAATTGCTACTTGTGGTAGGCAACTAGTCACCTCAATCAATTAACAGTGTATAGTTTTAACAGTATTCCTGACTGAATTCCATTGTTTTTACCAATACTTTGACAAATGAGTCTTATCTTTATCAATTTTTTTGTGTGTGTATGTATGTGTGTGTGGTCTTATAATGAGATATTCTACTCAGCAAAAGAATTCGATACAGAATCACGTCACCTGTTCACAATTAGTATGTTTTCTATATATATATCACTTAAAATTGACTTATCTTCGGCAATATAGATGATTGATCATGGCGGTTATATATATATATATATATCATTACTACTGATAATACTTTCCATATTTTTTAAAATCTTTGTCAACCTGCAGCCCCCTTATATTATTTGCCATATTACCTTACTACTCATTTGAATGACTTTTCGGATTTATTTTTAACTGAATTTTCATTCTCCCGTTAGTCGATTTGATTGAAATATTCGGCGCCTGTTGCCATGCCGGCCCCTTTGTACGGATGCTTCATCGATTTCTGGTAATTTCGTAGATGGTAACTAGCAGTGGAAATCAGTGATGCGCATTTTCCTTTTAATTTTGCCGTTAGTTGTATTGAAAACAAGTAATGACTGGTGCTCGTTGCACAAGAGATGGATTTTAGGCTCTAGGTGGTTTAGTGGATAACATTTTGACGTTTGAAACGATGGGTACTGGGTTCGAGCCTCAGTGGGGACTGCGGGTGTACATCCAGTGGTTGACGATTCTGAAATAGGACAAAATGCGAATCCTGGGTTCTACTGCTAGTCACACTATCCATTGAATTACTTCAACTTTCGGAATTCTTAAAGAAGAAAAAACTCCTTTGAAAGTGACTGACTGGTGAACTAGGAATATTCTTTTAGATAACGCCTTCTTCATCAGATTCTACAGTTATATGTTGATAATAATTAACGAATTATTGCTATTGACACCATTAATGTTTTTTTTTCTTAAAAAACATTGATACAGTAATAATCAATGTAGCACTAAATTGTATATCAGATAAATTAAAGAAAGTAATACAGAATTTGTGCACAGCGGTTAGGACGCTCACCGACTATGCACATGGTCTTGGGTTCGATCCCCGGCCAGCGCACCCCTAACCCAGAAATAAAGCTGGTAAAGAGGAAAGGTTGGGTATGAGGCTAGCAACCCTATCCTGTAAAAATAAACACTGCTAGAGAAACTTCAGGCCTGTAGCTTGAAGCCCTATGTTCCACTCGGTAGGTAAAGGAATATAAAAAAATACAGTCTTAAGTTCATCTTCAATTACATCTTCTGAACAAATAGCTCCGACCTTGTAGCTGAGAATGCTTATCGAATTTCTGTTATACTGAAGAAGAATGAAGCTGCGAAAATGTGTATATTGACCAATCCAAGTACTTTTCTTATACAAATTCCTTTTTATGTTACCGTCTGGTCTTGTTTCCAGTAGGACGTCTAAAAACGCAATTTTCCTTCAGGATTCCTCTTCACTCGTGAATTTAATAGCTGAATTGAGACAGTATTATATACCTTTCAATGAATTGAAAGAATTCCTTTCCCGTAGAATATTTTAAACAAGTAATAATTATAAGTATTACAGTTTGGGTATGGGGATAAATATTTGCCGCTAATGGGCAGTGTCAAGTGGTTGCGCTGTATCGTGAATTGGCAGAAGTTGGAATTCATGTACTGACCATCAGATCAGATCTCAGTAGGTTGATGGTCTATGAGCTCGCCTTGTAACCGGTAGGCCCTTGGTTTGAACTCCTGTTGTGGGTGAGTACTGTGACGAGTCCCATATTGGGGCGAAACATCTGTCCAGTACTCCC